TTGTTTGAAAAAGGGTGTAAAAAAACGCGTGTTCAAAAATAACGCGTTTTGGTCCGATACTTTCGCGCGGGGCTGTACTTCAAATTTAGGAGCAGGATAAGAATAGCACCAGCCAAGTAGATTAATCAAGAAATGTGTACGAAGCACGAGAAGGTTCACCGCATGATTTTCGAGAGTTTTGTTATTAGAAGAGACTATTGTACAAACATGTATGTAGAGCATACGGCTTGATCGCATCATGATGGACTGCAATACTTACAGAGCAGCTTGTTGTAGTCGACTTGGAAGATCACGAGATGGATAGACCGATCAGAACTTTTTTCAATCCGTCAGCCGGAGAGACCCCAGCCACAAGAGTGGAGAAAGTCCCTCAGATAAAAACCAAGAGCGTAAGCTCGGATTGTTTTTGGCGAGAGTCACCATCAGATCTCTCATGGCCCAAAGGTATTCAACAGGGTCTCCGTCATGAAGCTGGATCAACCAAATCCTGTAGGACGAAACATGTCCTTTGAGTCAAAGAAGGTAGTCGTCTCTTGAATAATGAGCAGAAAGGCCGCAGGCAACGGTAGCCTCGAGTGCAATACCAGCATGTCACATAGCATTTTGTTGTACTCATCGATGGAGTCACTTATGAAGGCGATCATCTTCACGGCAGCATCTCACTTCAAACAAAGCATGTCATGCAGATCACAGCTCCAGGCGATACCATGGTCACGATCAAAGCGTCACAGGTCAAGCAAGGCACGTGTATCATCATCGAGCACCTGGCGGTCCGGCTTGCTCACCTGTGCCTTGTTGCTGCTGTTGTTGAGCCATGGCTGCGTACCACATGGCCACGTAGTTGTTGTAGCCTCCATACGCGGCATACGGGTCTTCCGCACCAGCACCGGGTGCAGCAGGCTGTTGAGGACCAGCACCACTCGGAGAATAAGACTGCTGCTGTTGCGCTCGTGAGTATCCACCACCACTATAGGAATCATCGGGTCGGCTGTCTCTGCCCTGGGAGCGGTTTCTGGAGTCCTGATCGAAATGTCAGCATCACCCTCGGCTCAACAGTAAATGCCTGGAGCGTACCACTGCATCAACCTTGTCCATGATAGCTCGCTTGGCCATGTCGATGGCATGTCTTGTCCCTACAAGGCCGATCTCACGTTCGATATCCCGACCTGCTGGCTGCGAGACGTTGATCTTACAGCCTGTAGTATTCTGCATTTCCTTGATGGACTCGCCACCTGCCGCGTGTCAGATAAGAGAAGAATGCGTATTGCACTTGACTGACCTTTGCCGATTATCATGCCCACTGCGTCTCCGGGTACCATTATGCTATCATTGACTTTTTCGGAACTGCTGCCATAAGGATCATCCCTCGGTACCGGACGGCTGGTATCCTGTTTCGCTGCCGCATTTTTGGTGTCACTGTCCACTATCTCCATGATCAGATCTTTCGCTCTTTGTTGTGATTGTTCACTGCCAATCAAATTGACTGGTCGAAGACCATTGATACTCTTGTTCTCACCCACGATATTGACGTGGCAGCCGCTTCGCTCCTGTAGGTCTCTGATGGTCTCTCCGCCTCTTCCGATGATAAGGCCAACGGTCCGATCAGGCACCATGATCTGAGTCCCGTTTTCGCCGTCCTTCTGTGGCGCGATACTCCCGATCTTGCTTTGTCCCCTTGATCGGTCTTGTGCTGCACCTCGATTTCCTGGCCCATTCTCATCAATGATCCGGTAAATCTCTGCTTTTGCGCTGGCTCTGGCAGATCTGCTACCCGAGATGTCGCAATTACGTACGGTGGCACTAGATTCGGGTCCGTCCTTGAACTGCACCCTAGCACCCGTAGTCTGCTCGACCCGCCGTAGGTTTTCTCCTGCACGACCGATTATGAGGCCCACAAGGCTCTTTTCAATGGGAATACGTTCTGTGTCGCCGTCGCTTGCTCCGCGCTCCATCGATGATCGATTGTCTGGCATACCATATGAACGGCCTTGGGAGGGGGAGAAGCTACCGCTGGGTCTTGGAGAAAAGGATCGTTCACGAACATAGCCACGATCAGCACCACCTCGCCTTTCGTCGCGATACGGGTTGTAATTGTCTCTGAAGGTGTCTCTGATAGCACGAGGGGGGCTACGGGAAGGTGAGCGTGAGCGCCCAGTTCGGCGGCGAGGATCATCATTTCTCGAAAGAACTTTGTTGTAAGATATGTGTCAGCTTTCTAGCAGTAAGAGTGAAGAAGAAGAAAACTTATACCTCGGTTGGAATCATAGGAGACTCCTCTTTCGGCGGCGAAACCGCGCGCTTTAGCTATCGCATCGGCAATACTAACTGAACCAGAGCTGACAGGCTTGATAGAACTGAGGTCAACACTTCCTGAGCTTATAGGCTGCGGTAGAGAGTATGGAGATGATGCGACAGGAGGAGTAGAATTTGCGTAAGTGGGAGGATATCCTGAGGCTGGAAGTTGCGACTGTGCTTGATTGGGGGTTCCACCAGGGCGTTGCGCCGCTACACTTCAAAGTCAGACAACACCATGCGGATCAGATCTGTAACTTACCAAGAGCTGCGAGGATGTTGGAGATGTTTTGCTGATCAGCCATATTTCGAGTTTCGATCTGTACTCATGTGGGTGGGATGTGGAGCAGGATGGTCAAGTGATTTCTGAGCAGTTCTTAATCCGGGTCCGACTGCAGTGTCAGACAAATATGCCAAGACCTCAGATGGTGCAAATTTCAGTGCATGCAAAGAGAAAGTTTGGCACTCATCTTTCAAGGCCAGTACTGTACTGTGTGAATTGTGCACTGTCTCTCTCCTTGATCATTGCAATATCGGAGTACCATCTCATGGAGTATTAATCACTGATATGCATCATTGGTCGATACCACCAAAGTAGACTGACAGCAGATGGGTGGCTATTGTATCTGATTGGCTGTGATTCTATCGCCTCCAGGCGGACTAATAGGGCAATTCGGTCACACTATTTGCCGTGCCTCTCCTTTTTCCACAACTTCAGCTTCTCCACCACCTCTCTTGATTATTTCCATATCCAGTTTCTGCTAACGGTTTCGTTCTTTTAGCCGGAAGCAGGATGTTGACACTTATGATCCTGTATATGATGCCCCAATGCCCCAGCCATAGTGTTGTGAGGAGAGGTCCGGAGGCATTGCTGTACCACTGCTGAGGTCTCCATAAGTGCCATCAACCCTCTGCCCCTTGAAAAAAAATGCCCGTTGAAATGTACTTATGTATATTCGACCAGTGTGAGTGTAGGAGGTCTTCATTTTCGTTGGTTCCAATGTGCGGTGTTTGTCCATCAGCTGAGTGGCCAAGCCGATCATCAACACCGCAAGATCCATGATGCGGAGCAGCAGTCTGTGGACATGTAGGAGGCGGGTGGTCATGATCGGCTGAATCACTTCTCGTGTTTTGTTCCGCCTTGTGCTCCTTGTAAACCATACAGTCTTAACACGGTAAATCAATAACTTCACGTTTGGGGCATCTCTTTATTGCACAGTCTTTCTTACGCCGATCAATCTGCACAATCCATCATGGAGATACCCAGGGAAGGAGATGAAAACGAGTTGACCAAGTTGAAGGCGCTCGTATGGATCCAGCAGATTCAAACGGCCTGCCAGCGCGCAGGGGAAGCTTCTGGGGACTGTGAACCAGATCCGGATGAGGCAGAGTCTGTGGAGGCTTCACGTTCTGCTAAAACTGCATAGAAGAATCGGAAGGAGAAGGAGAGAAGAGCTCGCAGGAAGAGAGAGCAGAAGACCGGCAGCACTTCTGATAACGCTGTAGCAGATCCTGCTGAAATGGGCGTCCAAAATCGTGATCAAGGTGTTGAAGAGCGCCTGGACCTCGTCGTCCAGCAGCACGATATTGAGAGCGGCACAGCAAGTGAAGGCGCCCAGGAAGCCACCACGCTGCTCCCATCTGTCCAAGCTGGTGAACACCCATCGATTAGCCAGGCTGCAAACGAACAGAATCGCCCTGCGCAACCACCTGCCGAGCCATACATGCTGGCAACACAACCAATACAGGACGCTCAAATGACTCTACCCTCACCTCCACCTGCTATTAATCCTCAAACTACACCACCCATCACCACCACCTCTGGTGCCCGCAGAACTTCACGTCCTTTGATAGCCCCAGCAATCCCCTTCAACCTTCAATTCTCAAAGAAACCTTCCACCACCATGCAGCACGAAAATCCTGACACACAGAGCTCAGCAACTGAACAAGAAAGTGACAGCACAGTTGCACAGATTGCTGCCTCAACAGCTGAACTCACAATCTCCAAGGCCCAAGCCACGACAGAAGATACTCCAGAAACCGAGGTTACTGATGCTGGTATGGAGTCAAAGAATTCACCAGAAGGTCCTCCTTACGAGACCAAAAGTCCTATCTCTGCTACACATGTTGCTGAGAGCTCAGATTCTTCTGCTCCAGTACCCGCACAAGCTCCAGCAGTAATTACTTCACATACCACCCAAAGCTCAGAAGCTGCTGCTCCAGCGCCTGCCCAAGCTCCAGCAGAAACTACTCCACATACTACCCAAAGCTCAGAAGCTACTACTCCAACACCTACCCCTACCCAAGCTCCAGCAGAGACTACTTCACGTACTACCCAAGGCTCAGAAGCTTCTACTCCAGCGCCTGCCCAAGCTTCAGCCCAACAACGCCTTGTCAAATTCGACACCTATGAATGGCCTTGCCGTAATCAAGAATGCCGCAAGCTGACCAGCCCTTACGACGAATCAACAGTCATCTGTCCCCGCTGCGGTCCGTACTCGTTGATCCGCTATTGCAGCAAGAAATGCCTCTTCGACGACCTCCTCATGCACTGGGGCGTCGAATGCGGTTCATTCACCCTCGCGCAGAAAGCCGACCCCATGACCATCACCAGGCGACAGATCAGCATCCAACCATACATCCCCAGCCTCGACCACATTGACCGCCCCGAACGTTTCCGCCAGTTCGTGCGCCACTCGATCGACACCACCGGCGACTACTTCATCTTCTCCGACTGGGCCGACTGGCGCAACGCCGGCTTCCGCATGCCCTGGCCCGCCGAGCAACACGCCTCGGGCAGCATCCTGGCCATCGTCAACTTCACCCAGACCGGCTCCTCCGTCCCCTCTCGCATGCTCTTCACCCGTCTCCTCCGCATCTGCTTCCTCGTCGGCGGCGCGCGCACCGATATGGCCTATTTCCTCTTCAAGATGATCATCGGCCGATTGACCGAGCTGGGCTTGGCAACCAGCGACATCAAGAACTGCCTCGTCTGGCAATTCAAGCACGAGTTTGCCTATCCGGGTGGCTTTGCCGACTTGCTGATGGACCAGCAGGTGGTCAACTGGCCCTTGGTGGCGGGTCAGGTAGAAGTTTCCTGGTTGGGGGAGTCCATCTCGGGGCCGAGTGGTCCAATAAGGTCTAGGGTGGAGCTCTGTTTCGGGGGTGCTTGCTGCTTTGGGGGGGTGGGGGGTGGAAGGAGAGGCAGCTGTTGTTTTGTTCGTTCTAGCTTTAGGAAAGGAAGTTGCCCATAGGGGCTTTTCAGATCAGGAAATCAGATTGCTTTTACACCAAAAAAAAGGAACTTGTGCAATTTTTCGTCATCGGATTCTGTAGGCTTGAGGAGGCCCCCAATTTCCTAAAGGCTTTGGATTCAGGTTGAATGTCTTTCGGTAAAAGTGAATCCAGATTTCGACTTCTATGACACAAATGAAGAAATGTATATCAACGCGAGAAGGGCACCCGTCTCCCAGAAATCACTACGATATTCTTTTTGCGAGATTACTGAAAACATGATGGCAGATTTCTGACTGATACATGAGATCATCTGCGATGTTGAAAAGCAACCGGATGTGACTAGCGGGAGGGGACTCGGTGGTCGGAAATGATGGGATTATCTTTGCGTTGAGGAAATGTCTGCTTTTCTCCTCGTGATCGGATGCGGTAGATGTGGCGAGGGCACCGTGTCCCCAAGGAGTAGGGTTAGACTGTGAAGATCTGGAATCTTGTAGAGCAGATGTATATCACCATGAGATGCGGGCGCCATTACCTTGAACATGTTAGAGTCAGCTTGTTGGGCTCGTAGATCTCTGGAAGTGTGCCATATAGGTCCCAAAAGGACACCAATCACTTGGAAATAGATCAAGACTGCAGAGACCTGAGTCACTGGGATCTTGGAAAGTAGATGCATAGTGCTGCAGGAAGGACGCCAATAGTTGATGGAAGTGAAACGGGCTTTAGCTTTCTGGCAAGCAATCCTTTTCCACCAGTGGGAAGGCCATCACTGTCCCAAGGCAGTAGAGGCAGAATTGAGATCTGTAGAATCCTGATCTAGGACGTTGAAACCATGGAGAGGAGGTCGAATATCAAAAAGGAAAATAGCCAGACTGATCTTCACAATGTTTTGGGCAAGTAACAATATTCTCGACGACTATTTGTACTCAGGGGAGTTGATGAGATCGAAGACATTTCTTTCAGGGTTACTATTTGTCTTAGCCACAATCATCCTTCTGGTCGAATTTCAGCTAGATGATGCGAATAAAAGCAAGAAAATCTATACGTAGTGAAGAAATCCTCTTCCGTAGTCAGTAATGTGCTCTGCATCTAGCTGCATACGTTGAATGATAAAATCAGACTTCGTCAACAAAGGACCACGCAACAGACACCCACATAAAAAAGCAGACATTAAAGTCCAGACATGGAGAAAACAGGAACGAGAGGCTGGAGCAGGTACAGCCTGACAAGGCTCAGCAGGCAACTGAAACAACTACAACAAGATCTGAGCTGAAAAACAGTACTTGGAAGGCACCGCGCATTATGGACTCAGAGACATCAGATGGCTGAAAAATAGAGTCAGGATGTCTCCACTTGGTTCTCGACCCAGAAATCTCGATCCAGATTCTGCATCTCACCGTTCTGGAGCCTTCCAAAGAGGCAGCATGGTATCATGCAAAGCCTTGCAAGGCGTCAGGCGTGTAATTAGTTGTGTTTTGGATCTGAAAGGCTCCATTGACCAAGATTGCTAAAAGAGCCTTACCGAGCTCCTGTTCGACCTTCGTGTACCTCTAGGGAAATGATGGCTTTGGAGGACTCAGCTAGCAGAACGATGGTCAATCAGGCATTTGATGGAATCGCTCATGAGCTAACAAGGCAAAGCTCGGCACGGATAATCCGCATCGGCCACAGACGTCCACGTTGTCCTGAACCTCCTCATCGCTTTCCCATGAAGTTGGTGGTGTCGCTTCAGAGCAGACATCCTCGTCAACTGAGCCTTCCAGGAGATCATTCACATCATCAGTCAGATGGGGAGCGACGTCCTCATCCACGATCCTCCACTCTTTCAGCACATCATCTTGTCTCCTAAACATCCTTGATATATCCCTACCCTTACTATCCTTGCTGTCTGCCGCTGTCTCCGCCATGTTGGTCACAGCCACATTGACAAGACTCAAGTTCCAACCCGATCGTTCGGGGTGTAATTTCCTAAAGCATGGGATCAATGAGTCTTGGACCAGTCTATCGGCTAGTGCATGAACATTTTCAGTCAGGCTGAAAGCAAACGTTGGCATTGGTAGAGAGCGTGAAACACGGTTAAATGATCTCGAGCGGGTACCATCAGGGTTGACGGCTGGCCGTGGACGGGTCGTAAGTCTGAGCGTCCGAGGATGGGCAAGCCATCTTCTTTTCGATATCCCATGGTCAGTATTCTCCGCATCATCGTCGTCTTCCATTAGGTCCAGATGCATGCGTCTGATCAGACTATTTGATAACAGATTGAGCTTCTTTCTGACTTCGTCCAATGTGTCTAGTCGAGTGTAGCTGTCTTCAATGCTGATTTGGGAGGGTACTTTCTTTGCTTGGCTGACTTCGACGTCATCCACACCCTGTATTAGGCCCCAGATCTTGCCACCGATGCCCCTTTGGGAGCCAGGACCACTTAAGATCTCTTCCAGCATCTCAGGGCCCATTCCAAGAAAGGTCCGTACATCTCGTACAGTCACCTTTTCCTTTGTTCCCCCGTAAACAAGACCCTCGTCGAAGGCTGGCTGACGACCAAGTATCCGAGCTCGAATCTTCTGAGAGAGCTTGAAACCAATGCCGGGAATCCTGCCGATATCATGGCTATCCATGAATGTGGTGACATGTGATTCAGAGCTGGCACTTGCATCATAGGGAGGGACTAATGTGGTTTGACTCTTCGGCTTATGAAGGTTGCCCACCAGCTTCGACAAGATTTTGTTAGTGGAGATACCTACTGTAGCAGTGTATCCCTTTTCGTTCTCGAGTTCATGCCGCAGATATCGTGCCAGGTGAGAGCCAAGCACGAGCCGCTGATATAGCTGAAGATCTTGATCTGACACTGCACCAGCTTCCGGGGGATATGTAGGCCCAAATGGCTCAGATGCATCGTACTGAAAGCCAATTGTTGGGTCGTTTTGATCTAAGCAGAAAAAGGAATGGGACAGATCATTGTGGTTCAAAATGTCTATATTGTAGTTGACCATATCAGTGCAGTCCAGGAAGACCTACAGCCCTACCGTGAGCCAATCAACACTTGAAGGCTCTGGTACCAACTCACTTCGTCGAAACCCAGCCTCTCGGCTTGCCCGCTCCAGATCGATTTACGAAGAAAGCTGTACAATTCCTTTGACGCATTTCGAAACCTTGTGAGATCTTCGCCAAGCACGATTACCACATCCGGACAGACCTTCTTGGCCTCAGTGATGAGTTGCAGTTTGTACAGGCCTCTCCTTCGAGCCTCGTAGTTGCATGTGACGATGATTTGCTTCTGCTGAACGGCCAGGGGTTGGTTCTTCAGCGCAGGATTCTCAGCCTCGAACACCGATGCATAAAAGCAGTCGTAGTCCTAATCATTTGTCAGTCAATATCCGCCTCCATGGCGATGATAGGTCTGCGACAAGTACGCGGGCCTTACAAAGTGGATGATCATTCGGCTATCGTGCCTCTTCAACGATGAAGCTCTGTCCATCGCATCCAATGTTTCACCTTGTTTCGACGCCTTCGTAGCATCAGTACGCATATCATTACGTGTTCAGCGCACATAATCTCGGCAAGATTTGTGCGGCAAATTATGTGGCAAACTGCGGCTGCCGACCTCGGGGCAAAACACCAGCGAGACAGCTGCCACCATCGTTCTTCATACTCCCAAGGGCTGAGAATTAATCCCTTGCATTCTGTGTCATGAAATTATTATCAGGCCTGTGTTGAGATTCATGGAGCCTTAATATAGTCGAGGTTTGCCGTGGCGGAAACTCTAGAAAATTGGGATTGTCCAATCGGCCGTTGGCTGGACTGGAAATAAAGTCTTAATATAGCATGCTGGGAACGCCACACCCCAGCGCTTATCCTACGACAGCCAGAATCCTACCCCAAGTCATGCGCTGCAGCTTGCCAAAGATCCAACAAAAGCAAATCCCCCAGATCGAAGGGACCCCACAGCTGATTCAAGCCGAGAAAGTGATCATCCAGTGCTAATCTGAGGTACGATATCGGCCAAATTCGCGAGGTCAGGGGCAATGCTGCTTAACTCAGCTACGTTTCAACATGCCTGTCCTAAAAGGAATACGTATCTACTTATTCTCTCATCCTTCCCCTTTCGTTGGTGGGTTGATGATGAACAGAGTTCGAGAGCTGTGGACATGTAGTACAGCTACCTGCTAACAGTTGCTACGACACCATCACTACAGCCTCTTCGCTGGTCAGGCTCTGCTAGTGATCTGTGCTTAATCTCCTTCCTATCCGCCGCTTTTCGCGCATACTTATTGTCCGTCATACTTACTCCGGAGTTTGCGTGCTAATCACTCCGACTTTCAATCTGGGGAACGATTCGTACGCTCGCTTTCGTCATCGCTACACCAGATCTATAATTGGCTCAGGACAATGCTGCTGTGAAAAGACTTATCTCGTTTGCCGTTCAGCATGCTCGCCTTGCCGTTGACGCCTAGGAGTCCAGGAGTACTCGATTTTGACTGCGCCCCCACGCGCGCCACTCCCTCACCGAAGGTGGTTGTACCATCGTGTGAGCGGTCTCCATCCCCATCGATCTTCACACCCATGGCCATGACAGCAACGAGATCTCAACCAGCTTCGCAGAAGCGACCCAAGCTGTCGCTCCAGACCTCCTCACTTCCTATTACTTTCGGCAAATCTTCCACCGCTTTGAAGATCACAGCCTCCACACATCCTGTTGCCTCTCCTACGGTGTTGAACACATTCAACAATGCCTACGATCTACCACATCGCTCCTCTCCAGCTACCGCTTCCCCGACAGGTGCAAAACTCGCTCGACCATCCTCTCGCCTCGTCTCCCCGTTCGCGTCGAGCAAAGAAGACCGTCCGTACCAAATCTCACATGGGCTCAAGGGTATCTTGCGCAACGGCCCCATACCTTCTGGGCTCCGAAGATCATCGCTGTGCCCTGCAACCGAGAGTCCACGTACAGCTAGGAGAGCTTTCTTCCCTGCGGCGAGGAAGGTCACCTTTCGCGCTATACTGGAAGAAGAAATAAAGACAAGCACATATACTGCTAAGCACTCAGACCTCTCTTCGGACGAGGAAGATTCGGACTCCGACGTGCAATCTGAGCTCTCTCTATCATCGTCTGATGAGTCAGATGTGGAAGAACTTGCTCAAGTGAATACAGATACAGCTGGTACACAGCTAAGGCGGAAACGAAAAGCAGGGAGTGATCGTCAAGTCCAAGCCGCAGCTATCAGAGATTGCATCGTCGATCCTGCAATGATACAACAGCAAATGCGGCCCAAATTCGAGTGGCGAGGGAAACGCAGAAGGCGCCAATGGAAGTGGACCCTGGAGCCGTTGAAAGGAGTTTTACCGCAGGCAGACACTGGGCTGCAGCTAAAGAAACCAGACCCCTCTCCCACGAAGATGCCGTTGCCACTGTCAGCTGGCCTCGACCGTGATGACACTCTCTTATCACCATCGAATATCGCTCTTGTCCCATCGGCCACCCTTGTGCCTGCGCACGGCAAACCTGTCCCTCCATCATCTACGCAGTCGAGCACACTTTTGCCACACTCTGCGACGGTTCCCTCGTCGACTTCATCGGCCGCAGGCATCTACGCTGAAGAAGATAAAGAAGACATCGCCGCAGACCCTCTGGATAGAAAGAGGCATGAAGATTCTGCTGGTGATATATAGAAATATAAATAGTAAATAATCTATTCATCTATTCATCTATCTATAGTGATCTAAGTTCTATCCACTACCATTCTCCTATGCTCACTACCACCACTACCACCACCATGACCACAGTCCCCCAAATCTTCCCCTTCACTCTTCAATATACCTCCTCAACCCCCTCAACCTCTCCTTCGCCGTCTCCAACACCGCATCCTCCTTACAAACCGCAAACCGCATCCAATCCTCCGCCACCTTCTCCCTCGCCTGGGTATAGAACTCGCTCGGCGGAATCGCCGCAACGCCCAACTCCATGATCAAGAACCAGGCCATGCGAAAATCGCGCGGCCGATGCCTGACATGCTCGGGGAAATCGTAGCCGTCGGGTAGTTTGACCTTGGCCAGGTTGGCGAGCACGAAATAGCCGCCCTCGGGCTGGGAGTAGGGGAGGCGGAGCTCGTCGAAGACGTGGCAGAAACGCGCGACCTTGCCTTCCATCTCGCGCACGGACGAGTCCCAGAAGCGGTGGGCGTCGGCCTGTTCGAAGCCGACGGCGGCGGCTTCCTGGAGCGGGTAGCCGACGCGCCAGCCGGTGCAGTAGAAGTTCTTGCCGGCGCTGCCGACGGTGAGGGTTATCTGGGCGAGTTCGGGCGAGAGGGTGCCGATGCGGGTGAAGGGGACGTAGTAGAGCCGGTCGTAGACTTCGTCGGAGAGGATCAGGATGTCGTGTTTTAGGCAAAGGTCGCCGATGCGGGTGAGTTCGGATTTGGAGAAGACTTTGCCGACCGGATTGTGGGGGGAGTTGAGCACCATCATTTTGGTTTTGGGCGTGATGGCGGCTTCGAGTTCGGTGAAGTCGATGCTCCAGTTGGCGGCGGAGGAGGTGCGTGTCCCGCCGTCTTCTGGGGGGTGGAGAGGGACGTATTTTATGGTGCCGCCGGCCATTTCGATGTTGGAGAGATATTGGTCGAAGAAGGGTTCGAAGATGATGACTTCATCGCCTGGCTCGATGAAGCCCATGAACGCACTGAGCATGCCTGGGTGAGGGTTATTTACTACGTTGGAAGGAGAAGACATGGTCTTGGCGTTCAGGGGAGTAAAGAATTTGATGTCTTTGCTCTATTCGTTGATAGAATGCAAAAGTCTTACCTTCGTTGGCGCCAGTGGTGATCGTGACTTCGCTCTCGGGATCAAGCTTTCTCCCAAAGAAAGGGGAATAGGCATCCGCGATCGCCTTCTTCAATCGTGGGCGTCCCTTGCTACCAGGTCAGTCATGCCGGCAGAAGGGTTTCAATCAAGAAATCTACCTTCGTTGGCGAGTACTGGTTGCATTCGACACGGTCCAGCGCAGACTTTGCAGCATCTAAAACGAACTGAGGAGGATTGTAGCCACTATGGTGTTGCCAGTCAACTCATGCATATAGGCGAAGAACAGGCGGCCTCAATAGGAAGAATGGCCAAAACTGCAAGAACGGCAAAGGGGAGCATACTCACTAAAAGCCTTGACCCATATTTACACTTGAAAAGTGATGATTAGTTGTTGTACAGAGTATTCCTTGCTGTAATAGACTCACATCGGTTGGACTGGCGATGCAGCAGCAGCTTCATTCACGATCGACCTACAAACATCAAAGTCTATCACTTTGATGATTGAATACAATTGCCCACCAGACGTCTTGCTTCTGCCCGGCGACGCGTTTTGCTGGAGCGAATTTTTCCTCCATTCGAGGAGAGGAAGCCATGGTTCTAGTTACGACGAATGGAAATCCAGCACCACGGTGGGTAGTCATACATGGGAGACGTGAGAAGGAGGGACAATGGGGCCGGGCCAGCACATTTGTAGGTTTGCAGAACAATCTCATGGGGACAGATACAGACGAAGCCAGCGCAAATGCCTCAGCGTTTGTTATGGCCCAAGCGGAATCATTGATTACTATTCGTATTGTTCGTGCTCTGCTCCGATGGCGGAACCGAGGGTCTTGCCTCAGTCCTCAGACGGGCTTAGTGACACAGCTAGATGCCATCCTCGAAATGGCTAGTTGTTGACTAAGCAGACATTATCTCATACGTCTAAGGACAAGAACCCATATTTGGACTAGATTGTTATTTTTTAAATAGTGTTAAAGTTAATTATTTATGTCACAACTTATAACTTATTAACGCTTTTATGTATCTACGTAAGATTCTGTGCGAAATAGCTGTGGGTTCTATACAAGAAGGATTGTGCGTAGGATTCAGTGTAAGATAACTACGGATTCCGTGCAGGATTCCGTACGAAAAAGCTATGGACTCCGCGTAGGATTCTGTGCGAAATAGCTGTGGATTCTGCGCAGGATCCTATGTCAAATAACTGTGGGTTCTGCGTAAGATTCCGTGCAAAATAGCTGTGGATTCTGCGTAGGATTCTGTGCGAAATAACTACGGATTCTGCGTAGGATGCTGTGTGACAAAGCTGTGGATTCTGCACAGGATCCTATGTGAAATAGTTGTGGATTCTGTACAAGATGGATTGGCGAAGAATTCGGTGCGAAAAATAAGACTTTAATATTTTAATTGATGAATACATTTTTGCTATATTTTCTCTTTTTCTTTAAAAGTGATTTGGTACATCACTTTTGCTATTATATATGTGAGCAAAGAGCTTGATAAGCTACAAACTACGGTACTGGGCATAAGTATTCGTAGCACAGCATTAGTGTTTGTTCGCCAAAACAGGCGGAGAACCAGACATCTAAGCCTTGAACAGTTAGCGGTACTGGTGTGGCCAATTGATATGAACAATGGCCAAAGAAGCTTCTAGGGATTGATGTGGCGCTGTATCCCAACTAGTTGCTACTAGCGCTGTGCTACGACTACTTATGCCCAGTACCGTAGTAGGTATCCGGAATTTCAGACATTTTTTACCGACAAAATGTGGTCCAAGCGCCATACACACACGGAGGTTTTCCGACCTGCATTCCTGCCTTTTGCTTGACTCTTAGCCATGATCCTGCCAACCATCCTGCTTGAGCATGTTGGTTTGATTTACAGCGCTTCGTCTTCTCAGCATGCGTATACGAGACGGTAGCAGAAAACAAGCCCAAAATATCAGTAAATATCATCGGCGATCATGGCTAGCTTCGCACCCTTTCAAGGCCACCCGCCTAGTCCAGCTAACGAAGCAGAGCGGCTGGTATACGTGCCATTAGACCAGACATACTTATAGGTTGCAAGACCCAGGCAATCTTCGAGTGATGCTTTCCATGTTTCCTCCGTATCAAAATTGCTTCGCCTCGTACCCCTTCTGAGACGTGAATTAAACTCTCGAACATCAATCCGCTCATTCTTTTCGCTTTTCAGAGTACTATTAGTATATCCAGTTGAGGTCGAAGATGGTTTCTGAGAGTACTGGACAAGGCCCTGCTGTGGTTGCAGAGGCTAATCCCGCGTTCTGCGACCAAATTCGAAATATCCCATGGATTGATACAGCATCAGTTGAATATGAGGCGAAGCGAAAGATTTACCAGCGTGACAACGTTGCCACACCCCACGCTATAGCTTGTCCCCGAAATACAGAAGATGTGGCAGCTTTGGTGCGGCACTCGATCGAAGCCAATATACCTATTACTGTTCGATCTGGTGGGCATGACTTGTTTGGCCGCTCCATTGTCGAGTCCGCTCTGTGCATTGACATGCGTGCCATCGACTTTGTAGAGATTGCTCAAGACAAGAAGTCGGCCAGAATCGGGGGTGGTATACGCTTTGAAAAACTCGCCGAAGAGCTAAGTAAAGAGGGTCTTGTATGCCCTTTTGGCACTGTCCCGAGTGTGGGGTTTGTCGGATGGGCAAGTCTCGGAGGATACGGAGCTTTGAGTGGGCAATACGGACTAGGAGTCGATCAGATCATTGGTGCGGAAGTTGTTAATGCAAATGCGGAGATAATCCAGGCGGACGAAGAGATGCTGAAAGGCATCAGGGGTGCTGGTGGTAACTTTGGCATAGTAGCCGGACTTCGGATTAAGGTCTATGAGCTCAAAACTGTACGTCTCAACTGTGATCCTTGACCTCCTATACGAAAAGCGGTCTGCTGACGAATGAGATGAACTATAGCTCCTTGCGGGGCTAATCGTCCTAGATCCCAGTACGAAAGGGGTGGCGGAAACGTTCGCAGACTTTCTCACTGGTCTCCAGTCGCTCATGGCTTCAGGTCAATGCCCAGCCGCGGCCGGACTCGACCCTGCCATAGTCAATCATCCGCAGAGGGGCCAAACAGCTCTCGTCACTTTCGTGTGGTCGTCCCCTGACCACTCTGCAGGAAGGGCTTTCCTTGAAAAGCTGCTTACATTAGCCCCTGTGGCCATGCAGAATGTTGGAGAAACCAGTATGCCTGCCTGGTTGAAGACGCTTGAAGCATTCTGTCCCTATGGCATCTTTGGTGGTGATAGAGGTATCAGTTTTAGAAAATTGACTCCCAAAATGCTGGCAATACTTCGTCGCCATATGGAGAATATGCCCTCGGATCCGGCAACTACTATCGCTATTCATCCACTGAGCCGTACCAGTCCGTCCGCCACGGACCCCAACCTGAAGAGGGGCTCGTGTTTCAATCCAGAGGCACGGCAGGAACATTTCCTTCTAGAGCTCATCGGTTCCACCCTCGAACAAAGTAACTCGCCAAAATCACAGAAATGGATCAAGGACGCGTACAATGAGCTCAAAGGAAGTGGAGATGCCATGGACGGGTCGTACATTGCCCTTACACATCCTGAGGATATGTGCTTGGAAAAGATCTACGGGGCAGCATGGGAGGACTTGTTAGCGTTGAAGAGAAGACTGGATCCCAAGGGGTTTTTCAGGAACGCAGTTCCCAGGATGTAGTTGGCGATCTCGAAGTCACAGAGGATCAGTCGTGCTGGAGTTCAGAACATGTCATGTAGTCAATTGTGCAAACACACCGGCAATTCCATCTTCTGCCCTTCGCCACGTCGTGCAAGAAGTTGATTAACTTTCTCATGCCAGTCACGGCACGGCTAAAACCTGAGTTTTCAGACCACGTCATGGAGTTATGTAGTCTCCTGTGGGGCCCCTGACTCGAAATTGCAGTGCCAGGTTGGAGGTGGAAAAAATTGCTTGGCGAGAACTTGGAGACGGTGGGAGGCGTCTGCATTCGATCCTTGAAGTGTGCAAGCGTAAAATATTATTATGGACTTTATTCGCTAAGCGGCCCCATTGACCAAGAGCAAGACCTGGGCAAGCGTATCGCGCCATGACTGTTGTGAGATCCCTGTGTGAGATTCCTGTACCATGGTCGCTTGTCCCATATGCGGGCAATCTGTCAAGCAAGCTCAGATCAATGCTCACATTGATTCTGACTGCGTCAAGCACGTTGACGTATCTGGACCGGTGCTCAATGGCTCTTCTCAGCCAGAAACGTCAATATCTGGATTTTTCTCGACACCGCTCGCGAAGCGTATCGTATCACAAGAGAACCCTAGGCCCGAGACCAAGCTGACTCCGGATGAAGCCCGATCTGTGCCGGCAAAACGTTCTTTCGTGGATAATCAGCATCCTTTCATCGACATAGGGCAGAATGGCAACACGGAGCCTGAAGGCGCACTTGTTGAGCCAACAGCCAAAAGGTCAAAGACGACAAATGCTTTCCAGAAAGCTGCGCCTCTGGCAGAGCGCATGCGCCCACGTACTCTTAATGATGTCTATGGCCAAGACCTAGTTGGTCCCTCTGGCGTGTTGCGTGGCTTGATCGAGCAGGATAGGGTACCCAGCATGATCTTATGGGGAAATGCAGGGACTGGCAAAACAACTATAGCTCGAGTCATTGCGACCATGGTGGACAGTCGTTTCGTGGAGATCAACAGTACAAGTTCTGGGGTGGCAGAATGCAAAAAGCTCTTCGGCGAGGCAAAAAACGAGCTTGGGCTCACTGGGCGAAAGACAATCATCTTCTGTGATGAGATCCACAGATTCTCCAAGTCACAACAGGACGTCTTCCTAGGACCGGTGGAGAGTGGACAGATAACACTCATTGGAGCTACTACAGAGAATCCTTCATTCAAGATCCAAGATGCTCTGCTTTCGCGTTGTCGCACTTTCACATTGCAGAAGCTTACCGATGGCAGTATTTGCGAGATCCTTAATCGAGCGTTACAAGAGGAGGGCCCCAACTATTGCCCATCAGCTCTTGTGGACGACGAGTTGGTAAAGTACCTCGCAGCTTTTGCAGACGGCGATGCTCGGACTGCGCTCAACCTTCTTGAGCTAGCTATGGAGCTATCGAAACGAAAAGACATGACCCAGGGGGATTTGAAAAAGTCGTTGACCAAGACTTTAGTCTACGACAGAGCAGGAGATCAACACTATGATACCATCTCGGCCTTCCACAAGTCAATCAGGGGTGGCGATCCAGATGCGGCTTTATATTATTTGGCTCGAATGCTGCAATCCGGTGAGGATGCCCTGTATATTGCTCGCCGTTTGGTGGTTGTTGCATCTGAAGACATTGGTCTGGCCGACAACGGTATGCTATCCTTGGCCACAGCAGCCTATACTGCAGCTGAGAAGGTCGGTATGCCAGAAGCACGTATCAACCTTGCTCATGCCACTGTTGCCATGGCACTCTCCAAAAAGAGTACTAGAGCGTACAGGGGCCTTTCCAACGCGACTGCTGCTCTCCGTGAGCCAGGCATCGCGGGCTTGCCAATCCCAGTTCATCTGCGTAATGCTCCCACAAGACTTATGAAAGAGCTGGGCTACGGCAAGGAGTATAAGTACAACCCGGACTATGTCGATGGCAAGGTGGCGCAAGAGTATCTTCCAGAGCAGTTGCGAGGCTGTCACTTTCTTGAAGAAGCTGACCTTGGAAACCAATACGACCCTGATATATCCCAACATTGAAAAATGATACTGCGCTTGCAACAGGAGATCAAAAACACTTTATGTACTTAAGACTTCGTCTTGGCAATGACCTCACACTGCGCAAGCTTTGTCAAGATGTGTCTGACATAAGCAGCTGATACATGATGCCATGATCACCTCGAGCTGAATGCTGCAGAACCAAGCCGATGGCAAGCAAAAACTTGTAAATACACTTCTCACGATTCTTGTCCAAGAGTTCAAAGGACATGGTGCAGGTCAAGTTTGAATGTGAGCTGCTCATACTCGGTGCTGGCTGGACGTCAACCTTTCTCATCCCACTCCTACGAGACGAGAAGGTAGGATATGCCGCCACGTCTACTACTGGCAGATCCAGCACGATCAAGTTCATCTTTGAACCTGACGCCAGCGACTCAACTGCATTCAAAGTCCTCCCGGAGGCACGAACTATTCTCGTCACCTTTCCTCTCCGAGGTACTGGCCAAAGCCAAAAACTTGTAGACTTCTACCATCAAACGCACACATCAAGGCCGCATTACATTCAGCTAGGCTACACTGGGATATGGCGGGGAGACGGTCAGACAGTATGGCTGGATCGCCACTCGCCATACGACACAACGAACGAACGGGCAATGGCGGAGGATGAGCTAATGCAGAATGGAGGATGTGTCTTGAATCTGGCAGGTCTCTGGGGGGGAGAACGATCAGCACAAAGATTCGGGCGGCGAGCCGCATCCACCAAAGAAAAGCTCAAAGGGAAAGGTTCTCTGCATCTGATTCATGGACGAGATGTTGCTCGAGCAATCTATGCGGTTCACAGGGCATGGCCTGGCGCCAGCAGGTGGATTTTAACCGACCGATTTGTCCATGACTGGTGGGCGCTTCTTGCTGAATGGGGTTCTGAGGGGGCTGTCGAAGGCGAAGAAGATGCTACTGGCGAAGCTCTGGTCTGGGTAAGAGAGTTGATGGAAGAGGAGGGCGTCAAGGCCCTTCCCAGGTCGGTTGAGAAAATGGGCAGAGCCTACGACTCAACAGAATTTTGGAACAAGTTCAACTTGAGTCCTGTCAGAGCGAGGCTGTGAATACTGGCTCGTAAGAATCGATCGCCAAACCGTAACGCCATGAAAGGGTCCCGTTGGGTTAGATCCCCCAAGTATATCTCGCATGGATGAAGCACCATTTAATGAACAACCTTACCCGATTCACCTCACAGAAGTTTTGCCTGATCCCAAGCTCATGAAGGCTCAGTCACTTCTACCAACATCTTACCTGACTTCAGCAGTCTACAAACGTCATCATTCACGCTGGAAGTCAGACTTGCACCTTGATGTAGGAGAACGTGCAGCTTGCATTGTTGTTTGACGTTTGTACAAAGACAAGGAACAATCCCTCTCGGGCCACTAGCTCATGGCAATTCATTCACGTTCGATGCAATCTACTTCATGGTTCGAGAGGAGCTATTCCAACAAGCTCATTGTCCTTACCCAGATGGATTCTCTGTGACGAAGCGTCTCATCGTTTGTAGAGCGTCCTACAGTCTCACAACTGTATCCACCTATTAACAAACCTTTTAGACATATTTTCCCAACTACAACTTCTTCTCTCCTGTTCAATCTCGTACTCGGTACTCTGTACCCTCACTTGATATTGGGGCGAAATGGTTGCCTCATGATGATTCGCAGTTAATTCATAGAACCATACATATTACAACCCCGAATGTCACGACGTTGGTTTGAGAGGACAGCGCCCCTCCTACTACATACGCGATCCCGTTCTGCACGGCGCCCATCTAATAGCCGAGAGCTTGCTAAAAGTGTCAATTGTTATACCTCCGTATACTCCGTATGCACAGATCGCTACATGCTGCGAGGGCGTTTGTCTTGACAATCCATTCCGTAGTTGCAGTAGGTTGGTTTCAATAGCCGAATATGACCCCGGATGCTCGATATATACAGCTTTATGGCTTACGATTGACTCGTCCAGAGACTAAAAAGATCTCGCGTATGGTATTAAGCGAACACGGGCTGAGTTGCTATGATTGTCAACTAGCCTGCGATAAATGCGCGGGTCTAATCACATTGAAAGCAAAAAGAGTCAACCGTCTGTCTGCGATTCCACACCGCTGTGTCAGCATCGACTTCTACTACAGACGGGTCTGGTTAGACTCATTCTCAACGCCGAACCCTATACAGCACATACACAAGTGGTGTTAGACCTCTCCACTACGTCGCCATGAAGACCGCTCTCCTTCTCACCTTGGCCTGCATGACATCTGTCATCAACAGCTCTCCTGTCGCCCAAGCCCCGGAACTCGACGGCCGCCAGGTGTGCCGTACCAATGTAGGGGTGGGGTACTGCGTGGCTGCAAGGGAGGTGTGTTCCGGTACAAGATGATACACGTAGGTGGAGCAATAACAGCGCTGCGGAATGGCGACTATGTGGATCTCTTTGCTGACGTCCTTGCTTTCCTCTCTTGGAGCAGTCGGCATTGCGCGGGAATACTAGAGGGTTGCTGCGTCCCTTTGATGGCTGGGTGAGAAAAGCATGGGTTCTCGATATCTAGATGTGGTTTGAAGGAAAGACGGTAGTGTGAGAGAAAAGGGGAATTTTGAAGGCTGCCAGGTGTCTTGTCAATGTTAGCATTGTCGGATGCTGGATCCTGAGCCTGTGATATCGGTGGTGGGATTGCTGCCACCCCTAAAAAGCTTTCGCTTTTCTGCTGTACAGAATGAGGATTAGGGTTATCAGTACTGGAGTATTGCTATCGGCCACCTACCCGAGAAATATCATGCATTTGCAAGGATAGGAAGATGAACTTACATGGGGATGCCCCACTAGACTTGACCTGAATCCAGCAGGGTAGTAGCGATAACAAAGGTCAACTCCACAGTGAATGCATCTTGACCTTTGTTTCCCTCCCCTCATTCTCCGTTATTCCTGCTTCTTAGGGACATAGGAGGCCTGGTCATGGTTTCAAGTTTTGGTGTCTGAGCATCAGCGCAAGAATTTCAGCAGGACCTCATGACATGCACATTCATAGTCCACTGAGTGTCAGAAGAATGCAAAAAGCAGCGGCTGTTGAGACATGAACACAACATCTTTTTCACGATTATTCAGCATTGCTCCACACCTCCATTATGTCTGCAATGAGTGAGTTTGCTGGGTGTCGTACGTGTCCTTGCATGTTTGTGCCGCGAGGCATCCAGCAGGCTGCACTGGATTGGCTGGGAAACAGCAGAGCCAACCTCCTACAGTAAACAGTTTCAGCAACCACCGAATCATCAATGCTGTTTACTGTCCCCTCGCTCTCTGACAGAGGAGCGTTGAAGCGGTCAATCACCTGGCCTTGGATCATCTTCCTCACGTTGACGCCCGTTTGTATGCTCAGTGTTACATGAACATTGATCACTGCAACGGTGGCGGAACTTGAAGGGCCAAATAAATACCAAGCCTCTTTTTGTTGGATGATTACGCATGCGAGGCGCTCGGAGGGCAGCCAAATCCTTCCCCCCACTCGATCCTTCAGAGAGGCGCATAGCCTCTTGATGTCTTACCCTGTCACTTCTTCATTACTCTTCTTTGTTCTTACATCCATTTGTCTTGATACAAGGTCTTTTGTTGAAAGAGGCCCAACAGCATCATCAATTGTTTCATGCGTTGCACTTGCTCAGATTTTCTTGTGAAACCGAAACCTCTGCACCCTCAGCTGCTCTACCCTTTTAGGCGCTCCACGGTCACACATTCAACACCACGATAGAGAATTCATTAAAATACAGATCTGCGTGATCTGTGACCCTCACTTCACTTTTCGGCGCTATGCGCCTTTTCCGATGTCTGGCTTCGCTGGCTGCGAGTACACTCTTTTTTGTTGGGAAAATTGATGGTAAGATCGTGATACCTACTAACCGTTGACATGCTGACACAAATACAGCCCATTCACAATCCAGAAATCCTCTCAATTATCTGTCTTTGATTGAAAACCCTCGAATCCAAACCCCTTCACACAGGGTCCACGCCTTTTCATCTTTCGATCTCACTTTCGACCTTCACCAGAGTTCACAAAGAATAAAGCTTTCATTAGAGCCCAACCATGATATATTAGGAGAAGACTCCCATGTTCAATACTTGGATAAGGATGGTAATGTGCGGCACTCGGAGCCCATTAGTCGGCACGAGCACAAGGTGTTTCAGGGAAAGGCATGGTTACTTGGAAATGATGGGCACTGGGAAAATGTCGGATGGTCGAGGATCATGATCAAAAGGGACGGAGTTCACCCGCTCTTTGAAGGCGCCTTTTCGGTTATTGGTGATCACCATCATATACAACTTCAATCATCCTACATGCGTACCAAGCATGCGCTGGACCCACTGCTGGAAGATTCAGATGATGAGTATATGGCCTGTTTTCGCGACTCTGATGTCGGGCGGCAACCGCAGACCGAGCTCAGACGCAGGGGCAACGATCGCTCCTGCATAGCCGACAAGCTTCCATTCAATTCCGACCCCAATCACCCTGTCTTTCAGACCCCGGTGCTCAAGCGGGATGAGGGCTTTTGGGGCTCTATGCCAGTCACGTCGCTGCTGGGCAAGCGTCAGATTGACAGCTCCATCCCTGGTGGCGGCAACTCAGCTGGAACCAACCTTCGAAGCACCATTGGAAGCGTTGAGGGCTGTCCTTCAACTCGAAGAGTTGCGCTAGTCGGAGTAGCCACCGATTGTTCCTACACAGCATCCTTCAACTCATCGGAGTCTGTACGTGAAAACGTCATCTCACAATTCAACACAGCCTCCGAGCTCTACCAATCGACCTTCAATATCACTCTTGGCCTTCGAAATCTTACTGTCTCAGACGCTGAATGCCCAGGCACACCCCCAGCGGCCGCACCATGGAACATAGGCTGTCCTTCACAGACCACTATCGAAGAACGACTGAACCTGTTCTCTGTATGGAGAGGTCAACGGGGGGATAACAATGCTTACTGGACTTTGCTTTCTGGACCCAACTGCAATACTGGCGCCGAAGTTGGCTTGGCTTGGCTTGGTCAGCTGTGCAATGCCGGAGTAACATCAGGACAGGACTCCACTGGAGCCAATCAGACGGTCACTGGAGCGAATGTGGTAGTGAGGACCAGTCAGGAATGGCAGGTCATCGCCCATGAGTCGGGCCATACCTTTGGAGCAGTGCACGATTGCGATTCGAGTGCATGCGCAAACAGCCAGGTCGTCAACGCTCAGCAGTGCTGTCCAGTGTCTAGCAGTGGCTGTGATGCTGATGGAGCCTTCATCATGGACCCATCTTCCTCTCCTAATGTTGGACAATTCTCCCCTTGCACTGTCGGCAACATCTGCAGCGCGCTTGGCAGGAATTCCGTGAAGAGTGACTGTTTGTCAGACAACCGAGGTGTACAGACTATTAGTGGCAGCCAGTGCGGCAACGGTATTGTCGAGGATGGCGAAGACTGTGATTGCGGAGGTCAGGACGGTTGTGGTGGCAACAACTGCTGCGATCCCACCACTTGCAGGTTTAGGTCTGGGGCTGTCTGCGACGACAGCAATGAAGGATGTTGTCGGAGCTGTCAATTTGCTGCAGCAGGCACTGTCTGTCGTAGTAGTACTGGCAGTTGCGATCCAGAAGAGACCTGTTCTGGGGATGACGGGAACTGCCCAGCGGATGAAACGGCGGAGGATGGTACCGGCTGTGGAAACGGCCTCGAATGTGCAAGTGGTCAATGTACCAGCCGCGATCAGCAATGCAGGACCTTGATGGCGGCGTACTCGGCCAACAACGACACCTATGCATGTAACTCGCGGACCTGCGCAGTCAGCTGTGCATCACCCGAATTCGGACCGAATGTGTGCTACTCGATGCAGCAAAATTTCCTTGACGGAACGCCTTGCTCAGGAGGAGGACGTTGCGATAACGTAAGTTCTTTGTTTTTCCAGTCTCCTGTGACCAAGTACTTACCTTTTGCAGGGCGTGTGTTCCGGCAGCTCGGTTGGAGGGGAGATCACTTCGTGGATCGATGACAACCGAGCACTTGTGATTGGCATCTGTTCCGCCATTGGGGGTCTGATCCTACTTGGACTGCTTGCGTGCTTGTGGAGATGCTGTCGACGTCCTGCAAAGACGAAAACGAGGAAGTCAAGAATTATTGTGCCACCTCATACAGGCGGATGGAATGGTGGCTACCAAACTCCCTATCAGCCGATGAACCAAGGAGGATGGGAAGGAAATTCGGGCTGGCCCCAAGGTCCACCGAGGACAACCAGCGTCAGATACGCTTGATAGAAGCCTCTTGGATCAAGTTTCGTTGTTTTTGATTCAGTCATGCATTGCATGGCGTCCAGCATATATGATGAGGCTATGAATCGGATGCCTTTTTATGGCCTTGGGCGGTGTTATTCTTTTGGTATCCTGCACCGAATCTTGACCGCGCCCAGACAATCCTGTGAGAAGAGACTTGTTAAGACGGCATTCTTCTGGAATTTAATGAATCATCTGATTACTAGATAGGTACTCTGTAGATACGTAATCCAGAGTCCTACTTGAATCTCCTATCTCTTGATTACGAAAATAGAGGCTAAATTTCTAGTTCACTCCATCTAGTCATCGCAACAAGCTCCGGACACTTAATGGAACATCTGGTCTATCCAGACCATCCTGCGATACCGCCTTTGATCATCCCGATCATCTGCAAAGGATGCAAGGAATACGATGGAATTGGCTTCTACGACTACCCGCAACGTCAAGGATGGGCATCCCGCGAAGAACCCTTGAGATGGCTCGCCTGTGATACAGCAGTACTGGCACAACGTGCTCAGATCTGGCTGTATTTTGGTACACTCTCCGAGTTTGTGGGCGAAGTTGTTCCGTCTTCTGCTTTCTGTAGGTCCGAACAATCTTCAGACGCCACATACTTGTCCACCAATAGTCTCCAAGATATTCTGCGCACAAGGAAGCATGCCTACCAACAAACCCGCATGAGAAGAGTTGGAACGACGAAGGAATCAAAGGATAGAGCTGCTTCTGTTCTGAGAGAGGCTGCCAGGCTCAGTGAGCTCCTTGAACAACAAGTTACCGACTGTTCTGAAACACTCTCGCTGATTTCTTGTTCTATACGGGTTCTCTTACAAGTACTTGGTTCTGCGAAATACGACAGACAGAGACATGATCCCACCTCCAGGTCAACCGCTTCACCTACTAAATATAAAATCTTTCATGAGGCTGCGGAGCGATGGAGAGTTCCTCCAGCAAAAGTAATTCAGCATCGAATGACACAAGCAGGTTGGTGTCTCACCCAGATCAGCTTTCTTAGTCAAAAGTATTCTTGCGAAACCTTGTACTACTTGTCTGGGATCCGTCGACTAACCGTCAACGTCAAGCATGAGAAATGTACCGGCTTGCAGTGTCGCGCTTATGACATTGATGAAAGTTACTATGAACCCAAACATACTGATAAAAGATGCGGCTGTGCGCTGATTGGCTCTATTTCGGCAGAATTGACCTTGATAATTGAAGCTGGCGGCGTTCCGCTTGCTTCGTGCTTCTACTCTTCGTCTGGTCAACCCCAACTTGAGATTGTGCCAGCAAAAGCCGATTCAAGGTACATCGCAATATCGCACGTTTGGTCTGGGGGTCTCGGCAATCCACACGAAAACGCCATTGCTGGATGTCAGCTGGGGAGGCTAATGCACGTCATCAATGACCTTCATGCTGCTGGCTCCTTTAGTAGTCGAACTTGGAAGCTGGGTGGTCAGCCAAAGGGTTACTTTTGGCTGGACACATTATGCATACCGGTCGGAAAAGACGTGTCGGCACAACAGGCGCGGCAGAGATCTATCGCCGATATGGCCAGGATATACTCAGGAGCATATCGTGTGTTGGTGCTTGATGTAGAGCTTCAAAGAATCAGCCTTAATACGACAACTGCCGAAGAGACTCTAGCTCACATATTGTGCTCTTCATGGATGTTTCGATGCTGGACTCTATACGAAGCAATTCTTGCTCAATCTTGCTATATTCAATTCGCGGACAGGGCTGTTGCTCTTCGGAAAGCTCCAGGAATCCCGCAGATGATTTAGTCGCTCAAGTTCCCTGGCAGCTCCAGTAGAATCTTCTCCAAGAGAAACTTGGTGGAAGAACTATCCGGTTTCATTACAGAATTTGAAAATGGTGGATGGCAGCGCCCAGCTCGGGAAACTATGTGGACTTTCAAATCTCAGCAAAGATTCCAGGCAAATGCCTTCGCAGCAACATGGAACAATTTCCTCGGTAGGTCCACGACCAAGATGGAGGATCTCCACCTAATTCTAGGTGCGATGCAGGACTTCAGATCGGCCGCCATCCGGGATCTGCCTGTGAAAGATAGAATGAAAGCGATTCTGAAGGGCCATGCAATGCTGCCTGTGGCCCTGCTCTACGCTCCTGGACCAAGGCTTCAAGACGATAATCCGTTGCATCGATGGGCTCCGGAGTTTCCTCAGAGCAACAAGCTGGACTGTAATCTGGGATACTTGAAAGTCTTCTCGGACTGCCTTCAAATTGTGGGGCATGGGCCTGCTCATACGCAAAGCAGCGAGTCGATATGGAAACCGATTCGGCAGCTACCCAACAGCAACTTGCTAGACAAGGTCTGTACAGCCGTCGTGGTACTCGTGAGTCGTTTCTTCGGCGTAGGACCTGCGGAGTCTCCTAGACAAAACCTATGCTTGACTATGCCCAAGTCTGAACAGTCCGACCGATTCACCATTAATATACAAACTCTGTCAGGCTATGAACAGCTGTGGGTAGAGGCTTGTCCTTTGGAAGGAGTGTCACGCATCACGGTGGAAGATGGCATGACTTGCATCCTTTTCCCTAATGTCTACGATCTTCATGGCCGTGCAAGCTGGTACCAAGCTGCTGGTGCCCGTTTTCGAGTCCGACAGTATAATGAGACGTCACTACATCTTATCTATGACTGTCCGCTACAGATATATGCCTACGATAGAACGAAGAGCAGAATACGGGAGAGTCAACAAGACCCGAGTTCTACCTTTCCTTTACTTCTAACAAATCCAGTGGCGGCAAGCTGTCGAATTTTTATCGACTGTGGTAAGCCCTATATCAGGTAGATTGGCAAGGATGCTTCTAACTTTGTCACTTGGGCATAGATCTCTCCACTTGGCCATCCGCGCATCATTTCTTTGAGTCTCCAGAAGGTCCATTGTGCGAGCAAGTCACAATACATATGTACGGACTCGCCTACGTCTCAATCCAAGCTATCTGGCCCGTTTCATTCATTCTTGTCATGGCCACAGCATCTTCGCTACATATCCAGCGCCTCATGGTATTCTACTGCTACCTCGGAAAGGTCACCCTCACATGTGTTGAGTGTCTATGGTGGCGTGGGATCTGGAAAGCGACAGAGCGACAAGTTTGGAGCGAGGATTTTGGATCAAACAGCCCGTCTGTACATCGCCATTACGACATACTAAATCAAAATCCCTCTCTATTGATAGGGCTACGGCGAGCACTACTCATGGTTGTGCTCATGGCTATCTTTCTGGCGGTGGGGTTCACGCGTCCGGCTGCGAAATGGGCACGGTGGGCAGGGGTAATGCTGGGAATGGAGCTGGCCCAGAGACTAGTACTGCATGTCGCTTGGTTCAAATTACCAGAGACGGCATTGGGAAGAAGGGTGCGCGAGCAAGTGCAAAGACGGTGGCTGGGACTGAAGGAGAAGCTGAGGAGGGTGCGAGAAGCGCACATAAATCAAGAAATGGAGAGAGTGCCCTATCGAGAATCGTGGGACGTGGATCTGCAAAATTTCTTCGTCTTTGGATAGGGTTGAATCTTTGTAGTCAAAGGGCTTCCACGAAATGCCAATGGTTTCAGATCAGCACGGGAGGAAGCAGGATCAAATTATCATCATATCAGAAGTAAATACTCTATAAGCCCCTCTCAGTCGCTTACATAAAAAAACTCATCATCCACAAAACAACACCATATAGGTAAAAGTGGCGTATGTTCATCCACAATCGACTCACAGGACATGGACAACAGGACTTCCCGTTCGCTCAGTCATACTTAAGCCATGTGCCGGCCGGTTAGTAGTTGGGTGGGTGACCACCAGCGAATACCTGCTGTTGATTGTTTTGCTTTTTGACTTCTCTGACTATCAAATCGGGTAAGCAAGCGCTGGGCTTGATTATGAGCTGTGTAGATTAGGAGGGCGTTGATCACGGAGACGGCTTGCTACTACTAGGGGGGCCAGAAGTAATGTAAGCTTTGTGCTAGTAAAATTCTTACGAAACGCCCTCTTGACAGAACCTCTTGTACGGCGCTATAACCTACTGCTCTACACGTGTCTATCAATTTTACACGTTATATTTGATAAAGTTCGTATAGATTCTTTTAGTGTTTTTAGCTTGGAGTGTAATCCCTAAGAGCTATCTTATTAAGCTCCTTGAGTTGATGCTAGAGAGGTGCTAGGTAGTGATAGATATGGAAGGATCACCAGGGGGTGTCTGAATTCATTTGACACTATTTGCGCCGAAATTTAGCCGAAATGGACAATTGTTACTCCCATGTACAAAATCATCGCCATTTCACCACAACGATGACCTTATGGCTTTCCCATCCGAATTTGCTAGAGTTCTGCATCGAGAAGGCATCTCAGCAATACGCGCTTGAACCTCCTGTATTGTAATTTTGCTCTATTCGTCTTGCAAGACCTCTTTGAGCTGATCAAGATTATCCCATCTTCTTCTTCAGATTCGCTGTTTCAAAATGCCCTAAATAGCTTCTATAGGGTTTAAATCAGGCGATTAAGCAGGATGAACAAGTACAGTTATCTAATTGCTATCCTTGAGCTGTCTAATAATGTTAAGCTTAGATTTTATACTATGAGAAGGATCATTATCCTCTTGTAGAATAGCATTCTATCTATAAGAGATTTGTGTGTTTTGAATAGCTCTGATATAGATAAGTAGAAGGCACTTAGTATAGTATTTTTGAGTTATTAAATTACTCTTAGGTTTTATTTCAACTATATAAAGTAAAGTAGCCTCTTAATTAATTAAACGCTATTTAAATTACTTATTTATTTTATATTAACTCTTATGTAATTTACTAGGTCTTTTAAAAGACTTAAGATAATTATTTTCATTATTATAAAACTCTAATTTTTTAGTCTTTAAATACTAATTAATCTAAGTAATAATATAAAGCTTTGTTTTCTTTTTCTTAAGTAATTCCTGTATATTTTCAGGCTTATAACGAGTATTTTGCTCTTATAAAATATACTATTAAAAGACCTTTATAAGATTAATATATACTTTATCTATAAAATAGATTTTAGCTTAAAAATCTATTAATACTTTTGTCTTAATGCTCTATTCTATATTCTTTGCGCTTTTTCTTATTATTTAATAAGACTTGTTTAATTTATACAGATTTATAGCGTTATGCATAATTTTTATGCTGTTAGAGGCTTTATTAGAGTGTATGAGTCTTGCAAGGAAGATTAAAATGCTGAATTTGATGCTTATAATACTGATTTCGAACAGGATTCAAAGGAGAAAGAAGGCCGTAAATTTGCTCCTTTGTGAGATTTGAGGGGCGCCCTAGACGCTTTGAGAGCTTTCAGGTCCTTCGATAAGCCGGAGATCCTTGAATCTGACGTTTCTTGAGCCAATTAGCAGCAGTTTGGTGGCTAATGCCATGTTTGGCAGCAAAAGAGCGAAGAGATTCTTTAGAGTCTATTCGAGAATCAAATGCTTCAAAAAACCGGGATTTTCGCACAGTATCAGCTTCTCTGTGCTTTATAGCCCTATTCGGAGTAGCAGGAGGACTCATCTTGCTGAATTGATTGAGTAACTTTGTGTAGAAAACGAGTGGTTGAATTGTTAACTGATTCGGCTAAATTTCGGCGCAAATAGTGTCAAATGAATTCAGACACCCCCTGGTGGGATAGTATACTTGATATTAAAAGAAGAAAAACTAGATTAGTCTTAATCATGTGATTTAATGGCGTTCTATCTTGGCAGTTATATATAATGTAACTAGTGTGGAGCTTACATTACTTATGGCCCCCCGTAGTATTAGTCAAATCAAGCTCCAGCCACTGACCACCCTGGAACCGATGCTCCTTGCCGCATGTGACAATGGTCAAGCGGACACCAGTTCTTGTACCTTGTACCTGTTCCCTTTCATCCTTGTCGCGCTCCCTACTCCTTCGCATCAACTGCTCTTGCAATGGTCCAAAAGACCTATTCTGGCAACAACACATCCAAAATTGATGTCAAGGAGCCTTGGAATCATTTTGTCGTACCCCCCCTGCTGAAAGCGTTAGTATCTACAAAACGTACTATGTAGAATTGAGTATAGACGCCCAGAAAATGGCCTAAATAGGACTAGCGCCCAAAAATCAAGTTTTTACTTTCCATTGACATCTATAATTACTTGCCATCTCGCCTGCATCAACTGAAGCAGCTTCTTAAGATAATCAGAAGATGCAGCATTCTATGGAGCATTAACAGCTGCCGTCTTATCATTAAGTTCATTAATATTTATGCAGAATTAGTAAAATGCGTACGGAGCAGAATAAGCAGAATTTGCAGAGTGAGCAAAATTCGTTCCAAATGGCGACAGGGATGTTAACAGGGGTGTGTGTAAAAAACACGTTTGTAAGATATTCTGACCAGGGGTGGGTACAAAAATTCGGCCTGTAACCGTAGTAAGTAGCTCGGGGCAGATCTTCTATACGCGATCACACGCGTCCGACTCTTTCCCACACTATTTCTTTACACAAGAAACTGGACTCTCAATTCATACGGCCCTGTACCACCGCGAATTGCATTTCGTCTCGAACGATACCAAGTATTGCGCACAAACACCCTATATTGCCAATACGCTGAAGCTCTTCCGCTGCTAGACTCGTCAATGGCATCCACATCTCAAGGCCACCCGGCCTTCCCAGCTCGATCCACGTACGCGGCCTCAGGCAAGCTACCCGATCGAATGGGCCTTAACAACCCTCCACCCTTCGGCTCGTCAGCATTATCGCGAAGACCGGATCAACAGGCACAGCAATATGGGCAAGGACCGGCGGGACCACAACAACAGATACAGGGCGGCGGTGGGAGAGGACATCAACATCAACAGCACCACCAGTCAGGCGCGGACAAGGAGCCGAATCCGCTGAACGAGCTCAGTGAAGAACAGAGGGAGGAGATCAATGAAGCTGTACGTCTAGAATAAAAATGCAAAGTAACAGCACAATGCTGTTTTTCTAGCCTACCCACCCCCATCACCCCACCTCTCTAGAAAGTCAACTTCACACTCCACGCCATGCTCTGAACCCCGGCTCACCCATCTACGATCTCGCACAGTTCTCCCTCTTCGACCTCGACCGCGACCGCCACCTCGACTACCACGAACTGCGCGTCGCCCTCCGCGCCCTCGGCTTCACCCTGCCCAAACCCGAACTCCTCTCCCTCCTCACCACCCACGGCGTCCCCCGCTCCCAGCTCAGCAATCCTCCCAACCCAAACAACAAACCACCTCAGCAACAACAACAACAACGAGACCCCAGCATCCACCCCTCCCACCTCCTGATCCCCCACCCGGCCTTCTGCACCATCGCCGCGCAGCGCATCCTCGCGCGCGACCCCCGAGAGGAAATCGAACGCGCATTCGACCTGTTCGACGCCGAGAACAAGGGCTACATCGACCTCGAGGATCTGAAGCGCGTGGCCAGGGAGCTCGGGGAGACGGGCCTGGAGGAGGAGGAGCTGAGGGCCATGGTCGAGGAGTTTGATGTCGAGGAGAAGGGCGGGGTCGGGAGGGAGGAGTTTGTCGGGATTTGTTTGCAGGGGTGATTGGTTGGCACTCAATTGAATGATTAGGATGGGTGCGTGGATGAGATTGGAAAGGGGGGGATGGTTGTGAGGATGGGAAGGGGTAGCGCTGGCGTTGGGGTGCCGTTAGGTTGGGCGAAATGCATCACGGCATCGCGTGAGAAAGGCTGGGGGTTTTGGGTTGTGTATGAGTCTGAGGCAGCGATAGCCCTGCTTGGATTGCAGCTGTTGCTTCTTGGTGTGAATCACGACACAGACTTTAATACGCGGATAGGCAGCTCTAACCTTGTAGGTATGCTTAACCTGAACATTACTCGTGTCTATATCGTCTGCTGTGAGCTTCTTCGTCTCATAAGTCGTAATCTTTCCCGTCGTTCGCCCAAAGACCGGACGGACCACGCAGCTCTTCTTATGGCTATCTAGTCTGCTTACTTCGTTCCGGTCTGCTGATCCGGTAGTCCTGGCGTGAAGACACTCCGTCGAATGTACTCTACCGCGCAGAGCTGGAACACCTACCATGGCAATTGCACGGGACCCTCCTTCCCACTCTTCTCACCCATCACAGCATCCCAAGTGCCAATGTCCCTCGTCCCCCTCGGCGCCCAGTACTGGCCCGTCAAGTCCATTCCAAATGTCCCATCCACCCACTTGGCCAATATCTCGGCGGCCTCGTCCGGCGGCAACGCGCCACCATCGTCCCAGAATTTATCAAAGCCCACCCCTTTCGTCATCTCCGTCCTCATGAAGCTCGGATGCACGACGCCGACCGCGATCTTCTTGGGCGCGAGGTCTAGGGACAGAAGCTTTCCGAGCATGTTACTCGCTGCTTTGGAGCCATGGTGGCCAAAGTTGCCCCCTCCTTCCTGCGGGTGACGCAGGGTGATGCTGCCGGACTCGGAGGAGACGAGGATGATTTTCGAGTTGGAGTCGGATGGGATGATGGAGGAGTTGACGAGGGAGGAGATGAGGAACGAGGGCGCGATGGCCGAGGTGGTGTACATCGTCACTTGGTCGCGCCAGGATGGGGTGTCGAGTGGTGTTGATCTGTTTGGTGGAGAGCGCGTTGGAGAGGGTCGGGCCGCACTCCGGGTTGGTCAGGTCGACGGAGGGGATCCAGTGTATGTTGGGCCCGGAAGGGGAGGAGGGTGGGGTGGAGGAGCGACATGCGCCGTAGACGGTATTGGTTGGGTTGGAGGCGTATCGTTTGACGAGCTGTGCGCCGAGGCCGCGGGTGGCTCCGACGATGAGGATGGAAGACATGGTAGGGGTGCAGGACGTGAACGGGGAGAGGTGGGGCAGGAAGCTGTGATTGGGAGTGGTGGGATTGTCTTGAATGGGAAGGAGAGCGGAAATTGAGGTATACGGGAAAGGAAGAAGAAGTAGTGGACGAAGGACCTACATTCTGATAAAGACGAACAGTGGTGGGTGGTCTTGCAGAGCCTTTTCAGTATGTATCATTGATCGAGTCTGCGCTGGAAATGGCAGCGATGAGAAGTTGAGGAAGCTTGGGCCAAGCGCGTCATCTTTCAACTTTTGGTCACTGCTCATGCTCATGCTTATGCTCATGTCCACCATCCTGATCACTCTACCACCCTGATCACCACCCCCAGACTGCCCATAAGCCCGCCTCTGCAACGCTTGTCCGAGGCTGAGGACGACATTCTTAGAAAGTTCGTTCGCTGTCTTTGGCGGTTACAAAGGACAAACTGCTGCTGAAAGCTCCGAGTTCCCACTCTTCTCACCATGTCGGAAGCAGACGAGTCACCTGCGCAAAGGCAGGCCCGAATCCGCCGTGAGAAGCGCGAAGCCAAAATCAAGGCTGGAGGCAGTGAGCGGCTGGAGAAGATCACTAAACTGAGTGGTCGAACACCTGAAATGAGTAAATCTCCGCTGATATGGTTGAGTGTCTTTGTCTGATCCAGTGTGTAGTGCGAAACAGTTCTCCCTCTCCTTCCGCCTCTCCTGCTCCTCAATCTCAGACGCCACCGATCACTTCTCAGCCTTCCGACCCTTCTCAAATTCGGGCTCAAGAGGAGTTTCTTCGCTCTATGCTCCGTGCTCAGGACCCGCAGCAACCAGGTCAAGCTACAGACCAGCAACAGCAGCAAATGCCAGAAGATCCGATGATGAAGCTGCTTTCTTCACTTGCTGGTGGGGAGAACAACATGGATCCTAACAATCCTACTGGCCTGCCATTTTCGCCGGAGGATATTCAGAGCGCAACTGGTATGCCATCTTGGGCCACGAGTTTGCTGATGGGTGGGAAGGGAAAAGTGCCACCAACGGTAGAGGAGAGGAAAATTGCTACGATATGGAATATAGTTCATGTTATGTTCTCCATTCTCGCTGGTGCCTACCTTCTTTTCGTTCTTGGAGGTGCCACGAAGAAGTTTGGAAAGGAACCACCACCTCCTGCAACGGCCAAGAACCCCTTTCTTGCATTTGCGCTCGGAGAGCTGCTGATACATACTTCCCGAGTATTGACGAAAGACCCCGCAAGTACTCAAAGAGGCAATGGATGGCTGCAAATACTGAAGGACGTTGCCAGAGATGGCAGTATCGTGCTGTTCATGCTGGGTGCTGCTAATTGGTGGAATGGAACAGCCGCTTGACCTCGTCGTGAAAGGAAACACAAGCGACGTCTTGTCATCTTTTCACTGCTCTCGATATTGTGTTCGGCTTGCAACGGCATTACTCATTAGCTCAATTGACAACAGATCTAGTGCTAGACAGCGTTCGCTATGGAGGTACAGCAGGATGACTGCAGGGGATCTATGTACGAGAAGACAAAGCTGAAAGAAGAAAATGCGAGGACGAGCCTACGGGCAAACTTCTTCGGCGCACAGTGCTATCGATGGACAGTGTTAGGCGGCATGTTAATCGAGCCAATAGAGAAAACCGTCCTTTGGGATTCAGTCTCTATCATCTTTCGAATTTCTGGGTCTATTGAGTCTTACCCTGAACAAAGCCCGACCATAGAAGCTCAGTCATCAGTCGATCCTGGCTTCCTCACCTCTCTTACTCCATGACAAAGCAGATATACAGGGGCAATTACAAGGGATACGTTCTTCTGGTACATTTCATGGGCGTTCAGATGCGGCAAACACGGACCGATTTATGATGCAGTTGCTTGCTAGAAAGTAAGCGGCCAACTAGTTAGTCACAATACTATCCTCGCCACACTGGAGAGGGTTGCGCTAGCTGCAAAGCAAGCTCGATATTCCAGAATGACAATCATGTCAGCCTTGCATTTGGTGCCTCTGCAGGGCATCCGCATTGGGAAAAGAGCAGCAATGACACCTCAGATCTGTCATCATGCCCTTCCCAGCTGTCTGGATGGGCCTAGACAAGGGGCTCCGGGCTCTGTCGGAGAGGAGCTAGCAGCATCCCGCATCACACAGACAATGCCGCAGACAATGCCACACATGAATGTCCGATGCACAAGCGGAATCGGAAAGCAGAGCGGAGAATTGGCAGCCGGAGCTGACTGCTCAAGCTGCGGCTAGCCATGGACAGTTGTCAGGCCTTAATAAGAACATCGTGGACTGCTGAGCCCACCGTGTCAATCGAGAAGTGCTGCCCGTTCTGATGTGCAAACGGACAAATGGAGGGGCAAGATACCATCACAGCACTTCGGGCACTGGAACCATTCTTTTGCTCCTTGGCCCATGTTTTTCCCCCGCACGACAACCGGGCCCTCCTTCACCCATGACATCTTCCCTTATATCAATTCCCTGATGCTTCAGTCTCCGTGTCTGCTTTCCCACAACTTCTCCGGAGGATTCCAGTGATTTATAGCTGTTGTCGCGCCCAAGCGAAATTTGTAATATACTCTTCTGTCTTTATTAACTCGTCGATTTCGGAGCATTTCCCACCCCGACACTCTTCTCCAATTTCCGATTCGAGGTCCAGAAACAGCTCTGGGAATGTCCGAAGGTGACAGCAACCCTCCTCAGCCTGCTGTGGTAAGTGTCTTTCAAAGCTGCTGTCGTCGCTGTCTTTGTTGAAAACTCCTAGCCCGAGGCGCACGAAGTCGACACCTACCAGTAAGTGCCATGGAACAGTCCAGCGACCATTGCAAGAGGGGACTCCCCACTTACACTCATACAGTGTGCCCAAGGCTTTCTTCAGCAAGGGAACCGGAAAAGCGCATCTGAAAGACCTCGATCACTATCACGAATTATACAAACACTCGATTGACGATCCTCATGCTTTCTGGGCCAAGCTTGCTCGAGAACTTTTAACCTTTGAGAGGGACTTTCAAACGGTACACAGCGGGTCCCTGACCAATGGCGACAATGCTTGGTTTGTTGAAGGACGCCTGAACGCTTCCTACAACTGTGTCGACCGTCATGCATTTAAGAACCCCAACAAGGCCGCAATCATCTACGAGGCTGATGAGCCAAGTGAGGGCCGCACCATCACTTATGGCGAACTGCTGCGAGAAGTCTGCAGAGTCGCCTATGTCCTCCAACAGATGGGCGTCAAGAAGGGTGACACTGTGGCCATCTACCTCCCCATGATTCCAGAAGCCATCATTGCTTTCCTAGCAATCACCCGGATAGGCGCTATACACTCTGTTGTCTTCGCCGGGTTTTCATCCGATTCGCTGAAGGATCGTGTCATCGATGCCCGGTCCAAGGTTGTTATCACTGCTGATGAGGGTAAGCGTGGGGGGAAACTGATAGGCACCAAGAAGATTGTTGATGAAGCATTAAAGAAATGCCCCGACGTCAAACACTGTTTGGTATACAGGCGCACCGGTACTGAGGTTCCATGGACGGAGGGTAGGGATTTCTGGTGGCACGAGGAGGTTGAGAAATGGCCCAACTATATCGCACCAGAGTCCATGAGTTCGGAAGATCCCCTTTTCCTACTGTACACCTCCGGCTCAACGGGCAAGCCGAAGGGCGTCATGCACACCACGGCCGGCTACCTCGTTGGAGCTGCAGCCACTGGAAAATATGTGTTCGATATCCACGACGATGACGTGTTCTTCTGTGGTGGTGATGTCGGTTGGATCACAGGACATACGTATGTTGTGTATGCGCCGTTGCTCCTCGGTGTGGCGTCGGTCGTCTTCGAGGGCACACCTGCCTATCCCAATTTCTCGCGATACTGGGAGGTTATTGACAAGCATAATGTTTCTCAATTCTACGTTGCACCGACCGCCCTCAGACTGCTCAAGCGCGCCGGTGATGAGCATATAAAGTCTGAAATGAACAACCTGAGAGTCCTTGGGTCAGTCGGTGAACCAATTGCAGCCGAGGTGTGGAAGTGGTACCATGAAAAAGTCGGCAAAGAGGAAGCGCACATTGTCGACACATACTGGCAGACCGAGACCGGTTCACATGTCATCACTCCCCTCGCCGGCATCACCTCCACCAAGCCTGGTAGTGCTTCTCTCCCATTCTTCGGGATAGAGCCTGCAATCATCGACCCGGTATCTGGAGAAGAACTGAAAGGAAACGATGTCGAAGGTGTCCTCGCTTTCAAGCAGCCATGGCCAAGCATGGCGAGAACGGTCTGGGGAGCACACAAGAGATACATGGACACATACCTGAATGTCTACAAAGGATTCTACGTAAGCTCCAACTTTCTCTTCAACTCCCTATCTCTCTCTCTCCCCCTCTCATATAATTACTAAACATATATATGTACAGTTCACCGGCGACGGCGCCGGCCGCGACCACGAAGGCTACTACTGGATCCGCGGCCGCGTCGACGACGGGGTCAACGTGTCGGGCCACCGCCTCTCGACCGCGGAGATCGAAGCGGCGCTGATCGAATCACCGCTGGTAGCCGAAGCAGCCGTGGTCGGCGTCCACGACGACCTCACCGGCCAAGCCGTCAACGCCTTCGTCGCGCTCAAGGACCCGAGCCAGGACAACGACCAGACCAAGAAGGATCTCATCCTCCAGGTGCGCAAGAGCATCGGCCCCTTCGCCGCCCCCAAGGCCGTCTTCGTCATCCCCGACCTCCCCAAGACGCGCTCCGGCAAGATCATGCGCAGGATCTTGAGGAAGATCCTGAGCGGGGAGGAGGAGAGTCTCGGCGATACGAGCACGCTCAGTGATCCCGCTGTGGTGGATAAGATTATCGAGCGGGTTCATGCGGTGAGGAGGACGTAGTAGTTGGTAGTTCATTATTGTTGTTGTTGTTATGAGTCTGACTGACGTTGCGGAAGGGAGAGAAGGGTTAAGGAGGGGTTGGCATCCGGGGCTTGCGGGTTTGGCGCTCGGTGAGAAATATATATAGCATAGCAGGTAGGTACATATGCTCTGGAAAGCGGTGGTGTTCTCCCTCTTCATTATCACACCCAGGTGACACGTGTTGTCTTATCAATGAACTCGGATCCGGAAGGGCCTGTGCAGTATGTAACTATCCGGTAGGGAGGATGACTGGCGCACACAGCGATGGAGTGGGGGAAAAGGATATATATATATATAGATATGTGTGTGTGTGTGTGTGTGCCAGAACTGCTAGAAAGCTATACCCGTTGACTGTTGGCGCATACTCCGAGCACATAACAACAGGGACCCGACAGCGCTTCTCGTCGCCAAAACCATGCACGCTCCATCCGATCGCTCCTTGCACGCCATTTCGCTCATTCATTCGTATATCTATCCATCACGGCAGCACTGTGCCTCAGCTCAGCTCCCAACTCCCTCTATCCGTCTTCCGCCTCGTCTCTTTCTCTCTTTCTCTCTCCCTCTTTCTCTCCGAGAGACGAGATGCACGCATCCCAATCGCAGCCAAATAAAACCAGCACTACTTACCGCGCCTCGATACCCCCCCCCCCCACCCCGCCCCCAGCCACGCCCACGATGCCACTCCTCCTCGACCCGGCTCCATACACCATCTCCATCAGCTTGGCCTTCTGGCGCTCCCTGACATCGCGCAGGTAATGATAGGTGCCCTCGAGGCCGCGGATCTGGTCCTCGATGACCATGACGCAGTCGACGCCGACACTAACACTATCGTTGCGCCGCACCAGCGGGCTGACGAGCTTGCGGCGCAGCGTCTCGAGGCTGACCTTGAGCGTCTGCAGGCGGCCGTGGTGCTCCATGATCAGGTGTTTGTTGCTGACGGTGCGCGCGCGCACGTTGGCCAGCAGCTGCCGGTTCTTGTCGTACTTGCGCAGCATGGCGGCGTTGGGACCCACCAGCTTGGTCCACAGCGACGAGAGGAGGTCGTTTTCCAGCCGCTCCTGTGCGTCCGACTCGCGCACCACGCTGCGTTGCAGGTTGAGGAATTGGCGGGGTCGATGGATTCGAAGAGCGCGAACAGCGCGGTCGAGTGCGTGAGTTCGCTGTTGATGGATTCTTCCAGCACGTTCAGGAATTCGTGGAAGGTGCGCGTCAGTGCGGTGCGCGTGCGTTGCGGCGAGCTGGAGCCAAAGATCTCGGTGATCAGCCGGCCGAAGAGGGTGGGCTTGCCGCCGTTCTCTAACAGGCTGCCGCGGTTGAGGAGGTTGTGGATGTTGTCGAAGATCAGGGAGGGGATGGCGGGGCCTTGCGGGTTGGCTACGCCGGAGAGCTCCCGTTTCGCCCAGTCCATCACGAGGAGGATGCTGTCGACGTCCGAGTCGACGTCGGCGAAGAAGCGGTTTAGTTCCAACCCCAAGGTTTTGAGGCTTTCGGACAGTTCGTCCAGGGAGCGCACGATTAGGGGGGCCGAGGTCATGTTTGCGCTTCGCACGGACTCCCCTAGGTCCCACACTGCGACGCTGGTTTCTTGAAGAGCGGTAATTTGCGTGTAGCCGTTTTCCGAGTAGAAGATCAGCGGCTCGAAGGACTTGGCCAGGGTGGAAAGTTTGACTAGATCTGGAACAGGTGGAGGTATTGGAGGGACGAAGAGCATGCGTATTATAGATATCGAGAATAGTGATAGAATTATGGTCATCATTGTCGAGGATTTTGTTTTGGTCATCAAGTCGATCCTTTCTCGAAGGAAATTGAACAACGCCATGAAAGGTTCGCGGTGTTGTACCTCTGCTCTCACAGCAAAACGAATGTCTTGTAAGAATAGTCAGTACGTGACAAAGTGCATTGTGCTGGACCGGGAAGGAGTAGTACAATTATTCGTATCATTCACAGCCTTCTGTTCTTCCTCTGCAAATGCAGGCGCAAACTCATCCTTGGCTGCTCTTGGTTCGGGCGACCTCTCCTTCAGTGGTGAATCCGTCCCGGCCGGGAGAGGTATGTTCGCTGGGATGGTGAGATCTTCATCGCCACCTCTTGCATCTTCGTACTCTGGACTCGTCTGCCGCGATCTCGAAGGACTTATCGAAGGCCTCAACTCAAAGCGCTGAGCTGTCCCGTATGGATCGTGTCTGAACCATGATCCTGCGCCTCTGCTTCCCCCCCGAGCATGTCTTCGAAATCCTGGTGGCGACCAAGGTGCTCCGTTGCTCGATCTTTCATCTATATCCGAGTCGTCTGGTTCTGATTTGAAGCCGGAATGTTGTGAAGGTAGATCGAAAAGTGGAGAGCGAGTCTGGTGCTCCTCGAAGTCCTCAAGGGAGGCAGATAGTGAAGGATGGTCGTCAAAAGCGTTATCCATATCGTTCGTCTCGGCGGCTGCCATCAGTGCTGTCATCAGTATTCATCAATTGTATGCGATTGCGTTTCGGGTTGCGCAAGAGAAGTAACTAAGGATGATACGGTCGGAAAAGAGGTCAATGGCCCCGCAGGCAGTCGTCCGCGCGATTAAACACAGTCACAGTCTTATTGATTACCTTCAACCAGTACAGTGTCAGACGGCTGAAAAATGCAGAGTGACTTGTACCACTGGTCAGTGTCATAAGATGGAGTGAGGTAGAGCCTGAGTGGGAGTGCAGGTCCCGTGCCTCTCAACCTAATGATGAGGACCAGCCACTCTTACGAGTACTAGAAACTCACCTTAATGCATTGCGAGTGAGCTGCTTGCGGTATGCTACATACCTCGAGCCAAGATGGTGGCTGGTCCAATGATCTGGTGCCTGAAGAGGGGTTGATGCACGCGAGGAACCTATTTTATTTCGAGTGCTACGTATGGCCAACTACCAAAACTGCACACCAGAATCTTAGAGATAGGGATTAAAAGATGCCAGCCGCCTCAGAAAAGGCTCAACAAAGTGCACATCCCAAGGGCATGCGAAGGGTCGCCAAGTTCTAAAGTGTCACGTCTTCAAGGGGTTACAAGCACGAATACAAGAATTCAAAATGCGATACGGAAGTCACCAGCCATGGCAACGCGATCACGGAAGATCGCTAAATACTACCAGCTTGACCCCACTGGCATTGCAATAGCACTGGCAATGGCTGATCAGTCTGCCGAAGGACAAGGCGTCAATGTCAGCTTTACATACCTCTTTATAAGTATAAGTCTATTCCTCCGACCCAAATAACAGCGGTCGATTGCTGAGGAGCGAGACCGCTGGCGAGCTCATGCTGTTGTGCAAAAGTTAGGGGAGAAGGATGAGATGAATGGAAGTGGATGTGCATATGTCGAAGGCTGATCAAAAGGTTGACCAACCAAAGATCTTCTGTATTACGCGGCCGAAATGGTATAGCCGTGGTTGGGGAGAGATGGAGGAGAAGAGCTGCGTCGGATAACGTGGAAAGCACGAAGAGATATACACCCAGGGGAAAATTGGGCATATCGCGAAGCTGAGTAGAGAATCTTTGTTCTAATTATGGTGACTTTTCAGTAAGTCTAGCACGTGCAATAACGGTATCGAGACCCCAACAGAGTCGCAAATTATGTACAAGCCATGGCGAAGCACATGACAGATGCTCAGAAGGGGTCAGAGGTAAGCAGTGCGTGTCCAAGGTCGAGCGTGCCTTCGAGGGATGATAGTACAGAGGATATATCAGAGCAGGCGTCTCCGTGATTGTCAGGTGATGCCGCTCAGCATGCGAAAGTGTAGTCTCAGCTTATTTGGTGTTCTCTCGAAGCCAACTATGGACGAGTTAGTCACTTTCGAGTTGGATAAATCTTAGCAACGTACGTGATCAGGTCGTTTCGATCCTTCTCCTTCTTCAGACCACCGAAAGCCATCTTTGTTCCAGGAATGTATTTTTTGGGATTTTCAAGATATTCAAACTGTTTGCTTGTCAGCCTCCGCTTGTAGTGAACAGTATGCGCCGCAGTTCTACCAGAGTATCTTCCTTCCATTCGATTCCTTTCTGTTTATTTGCGTCTGTGTAGGAAAAGCCTTCGACTTGGCCAGTCTTCCGTCCAAAGAGACCATGCAAACTGGGACCGATCTTGTTCTGTCCTTCTTCAGTGGTGTGGCACTGTTCGCAACGAGTCTATCGAAGCGTCAGAAGCATGCGCGAGAGTTATAAACTGTCTTCAAAGCGCACTTTGAACAATCCGGCACCCTTTTTGACATCACCTGCCACGAAGGTCTTGTCAGTCTCGCGTTTCAGTCTCTCTGCTGCGGCCTCCTTGCGCATCTCTTCCTCCTCGCGGTATGACTGCTCCTCCAATATAATCACGAACGCCGCATCGACAGCAGCGCCACTCATGTTGTATTTTAGGGTGTGATAGAGAGTAGTGTCAAGCTGAAAATGTGTATTCGTCCGTGTATATAGGGTTCTCGGTAAGAAGTTGGCGTCTTTGCTTTGATGATCGTGTCGCATTTAAACATTAAGGATCAATACTTGTGGTTCTAGCTAGTGAAGACGAATACCACAAGGTGGAGCTGAAGTCACCCCGCAGTATACACACACTCCATCTCTTGCCAGTCATACCCGAGCGCAAAGCCGAAAGAAGTTGTGTAGAGTTGATCTTTCGACGTACCTTCTTTAAAACCAGCAGACTTCTTGGGAGGCATTCTGAGGACTTTTCGGTATCTAAATCTCTAGACTGGTGCTGCAGGTAGTTACGAGGGAAAAAGGGACTCGTCTGATGTGTGCTGATGAGAATGTTTAAAGGGTATTGATGAGGGCGAAAGGAAGAAAGAAAAAGTGAAGGCTAGTGGATCGAATTGATGCAGAACAGCAGGGGTCATTGAAGCTATTATTTCCGCAGCCGACACGACATGCAACAGTTGGCAGCCAACCAGCGTGCAGAGTTTTCTCATCCTCTGCATGCGGAACAGGATTGCCAAGATCTCGGAACATCTCGGAATCAGCCTCCTTTCGCCTTTCGGCCTTCGGTGTCTGTCTCGTCGCCTCCTACCACCAGTACAAGACACTTCACCATTCGCAGTAGTGGACGATTCGTTGGCGGGCGAAGCCATACATGCTCAGTGCCTTAGAGGAGACAGAACCTTCGAATCATCATTTCCTCGGCTCTAGCAGAAAGGTCCTCGCCGTGGTGCTACTTGTCCCATCAGGCATGTGCTGATGGCTTTGCTTTCATGTGATGTCGAAGAGGTTTTATGTCATAACTAAGAAGCCGACCTCGAACCACTTCTGGTTGTCAGAACACCTGATCTCCTCAGATTCTATTGTTAAAAAGAAGCTTTTGGCTTCGGAATTGTCAAAAGAAGTTGGCTCATCCTTTTGTATCCACGGATTATAGTCATCCACACATCTCTTCTGAGACACGAAGAGACAACCCGGAAAGATATATCGTCGATTCGGTCTGATTAGAGGAAGTGAACAGATTCAAAAACCGTTTAACGACGTTCCGTGGGAACGAACTGGTAGCTGCAACAATGGCTGGGGACACAAAGTAGACCTCAAAATCCCTGTTGGTTGTGATTCAAAGCTGCAGGTATATCGTCTTCCTCAAGAACCTTGAGGTAGGGTCTATGAGTTTTGCCGCAGGATTAAGGAAGTCTGAAAAAGAATTTGTCGCCCAACTCGGCCCGTTGGACGGTATTTGTCGCCTCTCTATCCAAAATAAACGGTGATATGGTGACCCCGTCGTAAACCAAGTCAGATCTTCCAGATCCTCAGATTGGGTGTCTGACATAGCGAGAAGTCTTAGCGCAGGCACCTTTGTGCTGTCTTCTCGGCACAAGTTAAGGATCATCAGACAGCTCAGAAGTTCTTGCTTATGGCTCTCGAACCTTGAACCTGCCTAAAAACTTGACTTGAGAGCGTTTTCACCTTCGATTTCGCACACATCCATAAGACATGCATCAATCTGAAGGCCACGATTCGATGCAATGTAAGGGCCCCTTGGATATGGACAAGCATAAGTTCGCTTTAGGCCGAAGAATTAATAAATCTCCTGGAGAACTGCACAGTATGCCAGAGGGATAAAAAATCCCCTGTTTATTTTGTCTGGCCAACCATAAGATTCATCTGTTGAGGCCATCAAAAAAATATTGATTCATCGTTTGACTCCTTCATAGCATATTGATGTTGAAGATGCCTAACCAACAGTATGCCTGGTCTTCGATTCTGTTGGTCACTATACTTGAGGCCCAGAACTTTTTTTCTGCAACACTTGCGGTGTGAAGATTATATATAAGATGTTTGATTGCAATTTTTGTAGTGAAGCAAATAAGCTCAAGCAAATCATTTTTAGCCCCGATTAATTTCTAATTTCGGTCATAGGATTCTACCTTAGAAGGTGCAAGGAGTTCCTGTAAAGTCCAGCTACGCGTAAACCAGACGCTTTCAGAAAAGAGACGAAGTTGAGCATTCTTGTCTCTATTCGGTCCCACACTCAGAACATCAGAAATGTCAGACGACCTCGGCCTGACGTATGAAAGACGCGCAAAAGACGAAAAAAAGACGAGTTCAATGTTGTGAGTGAAGTTGTATCAACTATCATGCCCTGAGGGCGCCCGAAGGCATCTACTCTAATTAGGTAACTAACTTTCTTGGCAGGCCATGCCAGCCCTGCCGTGCAGGCGCATGACAAGAAAGGTAGACGTAGCAAACACTAGACTCCTTATACATACCATCGATACATAGGGTTAAAAGCCTCAGAAAGCTTAGGAGAGCTCGTCTTGTTAATACAAAATCGGTCAACACTGCCGACAACATAGAAGCAATTAGAGCCTTCATATAGCCGATAAATTTCACTTTTGATTTAAACTTCATTTAGGTATTTTTCATTTTCAAGTATTTCCAAACCACTTATTTCACGACTTTTTTATAAGTCTCGCATAATCCCTGTGAGCCATATCATGCTGACTCTCAAGGGTCTGAAAATGGAGCCCCCCTTCTTTCTGCCCAAAGGCATTGGTAGAAAAATCATATAGTCTTTACAATCAGAGAATAAAATTGGATTCATATCTGCTTTATCCTCTCTGGTATCATCGGAGGTCATCATTTGATAGGTCTTCGACATGGCATCTGGCTCCCCCTTGCATTCACCATCCTGCGGATTTATAATGATCTCACCGAAGAATCGGACGAGAACATCGTCTTTCTTATTAACTGTGTAATTGGAGGATAAAATACGAGCTAACCCTAATCGAGCGTATAGAGTTCCAAGGCAGCTGGCTCTTACAAGCCTCCTGCTTGTCACGGCTGCCATGCTTGTCGGCCGCTAGCGCTAGGGCCGCCGGGTATTGATTGGCACTACGCGTTAGTAAGGGGCATGCTCGCTATATAGGAGCGACCCCAGTGCCATCCTCGTCGGCTCTGCAGTCTTAGGATAGCACTCAACATGGGCTGAAGATCTCGCGCACTCGTCGCCTGCTTCCAACGTGACACGTGACACTGCTAATTAATGTGCTCTAATCCTGTTCAGGATAGGTCTCTTTGGCGCACAGGGACTTGTATTCTAACAGGAGCTTATCTCCAACTTCCTGTATTAGCTAGTTTCTATATCTACAACCACAATAGAATCATTCGAGTTGCACCCTGTGGGTTACACCGACTTCGCTTCATACGACTGTATGCACCATGACACTCCTATTACGTAACTCAAGACGTCACCTTCACAGGAGAATGTAAAGTGTATAGAAAGCAGGTAATCCCCAATTGTTATCTGGACTGCAGCTGACAAGTATACAATTTCTAGTATTTGTGAAATTCAATTTTCTTGTTCAACATCTTATCAGCTTCAATATCCAAGATATAATCATGACTACCCAGACAGAATCCCAAATCAAACACCATCCAGATCACTGGTCTACCACCTCTGAACATCACCATCACGTTGAACGTACTGTGCACCCTGTCATCGTGGAGCTGGTCAAATGGGTGTGTGCTTTCTTGTGTCCCGGATTTTATTTTACATTCGGCAGGCAAACCGCAAGGAATCCTTTCCCTAGACACTACTTTCTCCACTTTAACGAGTGTGAATTTATGAATTTGATCTATTCCTACAGTTCAAAGATGCTAACCGCCAAAACCACGCAGGCGACGCAAACCTTACCCCCAGATTCCTCTTCTGCAGTCCTTGACGACGCCTGTGGCATCGGCACCGTGACCGCCGAAGTCAAGAAATCTTTCCCGGACATTTCCGTTCTAGCAATCGACTCTTCCGCCGGTATGCTCAAAGCTTACAATCGCAAGGCGAAAAAACACGATTTCAAGAATGTGACGACAAGACTCTTGGATGGCGGCAGTATGACTGGTACACCTATTTCTTATAATTTCCTCATAACGTGCACTGCGCCCAGACCACTATTTACCCCTGCAATGTATAACCTGTTCCAGCACCCTCAAGCCTACTACACTTACTTCCATTGTCTAAACAGGCTCAACGCTAACACTAACGCGACTTAAGACGTCTCCTCTGATAGCATCACCCACGCCTTTGCCTGCACATTCATCGACCTTGCCCACAACGCCACTGCCTGCATCCAAGAACTCCACCGCGTCATGGCACCCGGCGGTGTCTTGGCCATGAATACCTGGGCCGACCCTTACCATCCGAGCATTGGGACTCCGTGGACTAAAGCCTGCCAGACAGTGTATCCGGATTACAAAGCACCTATGGTCACGAGCCCGAGATGGTCGACTCCCGAGCAGATCAAAGAAAACCTCGTGAAGGCTGGGTTCAAGGATGTGCAGACGAAGCAGGAGATGACGCACTGGCGATGGAGCAGTCCGGAGGAGATGACGACCTGGTTTTTCGATGGGGGAAATCCGGTTGAGGGAAGGTGGCATGAATCATTGGTGGAGGAGTGCGGAGGAAAATTGGAGGATATGAGGGAGCCTTTCCATCAGGAGGTGGTGAAGGAGTATAGAAATGAAGGGGGCCATTTGCTGAGGGAGGAGTTAGTCAATCTAACTATTGCGAGGAAGTAGGGCAGATACGCTAGGAGAGTGGGTTAATATCGTGCTATTACTGTGCCTGCTTTCTCGACTGATACGAGGCTTGATGTCATTCTCCTATATAATAAAAGTTACAACGGTCCATCATTAACATTTCCATGCCGGTACTGTAATCCCATCTTTACATTAAAAGCAGCGGCCTCTGTGGATTGGGCTCCCGTTGAAGTGGGATTTTTCAAACATGAAAAGATATTGTCAAAGTTACCCGTAGTTAAATTGTTAGGTGATGAAGTGGTTGGCTCAGTACCTAGACACTCCATGTGGACACTGACGGGTTATGAGTTTGCCTCCGGGCGGCCCCCTTCCAGCCACTCTTCTTGGCGCATTTCTGCTCGAGAGACTCTGCCTCAGGAATAATCACGCTAACTCGAGTTAGCTCAGGGTAAGCTTAGAGCTGCTCAGAGGGTGCCTGATTTCAGCCTTCGTTGTATGATCAGGTTTTGTCATTAGAAGGATTCTAAGACAAAAAAGTAACTGAGTAAGGAGAGAATGATACGTCTAACTAAGTTTGGTATTAATGCTGGGTGACGACTCCCGTCGTTTTCGGCGGCAGATACCGCCCTTTTCGTGGGGCATTGTCACCAGTGGTGGGGACTATATAGTGCGAGATCGATCAAGACTACCGACAACTTAGAAGCGATTAGAGCCTTTGCACCGCCGGTAACTTTCACCTTGGTTTAAATTTCATTTGTATATTTTTTCATTTTCCAGCATTTTTCCAAACCACTGATTCCACAACTTTTGTTGGGTTTTCGCATAATCCCTGTGAGCCACATCATGCTGACTCTCAAGGGTCTGAAAATGGACTACCCTTCCTGACTATGCACGACTGCTTTTCCTCTCACCTAGTCTCTAGTTTACTTCGTCCTCCCTTCTTAGTCAAATTAGTTATGGATGACTATCTCAAGAACCTCGTTTCTTTGGAACGACTCTTCAATACCCGACGCCCTGAATCTCAACCTATTGATCAATTGCTGGAGGAAAGTCTTGCAAAAGTTCAAACTTCTGTGGCACGTTATTTAACTGCGGGTAAAAACACGACTGAGTGTACTGCGGAGGTAACAGCAAATACGGATCAAACATACGGAGACTAGTATTTTAGGATCATCATTCATTGTCATGTAGCAATCTCCTCATTAGGCTTTCTCATGAACTGAAGTATATCGTCAGTGTTTATTCCATCCACTTTCTGCTTTCACATAAGACCGAGTTGCCACGCGCGGTGTTCCTGCGCCCATGGAAGAGTGACACGACGAGCATTACTGAGCGGGGGGGACCCCAGCCAATCTCCAGAATCTTCAGCTGCATTCTTCAGACTTTTCGGCTCTAGTGTAATTTCGGAAGACGGTTTATGTCTGTCTTTCGGAGTCAGATTCCGGGTCAATCGTGAAAAGATGCTTTGTGTTCGCTTCCGGGATGTCATCAGTTGAGATTCACTGCTCATGACCTTGGAGAACGAGGTCGAAATAGGCGTTGATATTTTCCTCCATGGCAGTATGCTAAGATCTTTCAGGATAGAGTTTGCTTCAGCGGCAGAGGCAGTCACCTTGTCCTTTGTCCACTGGGGTATGGTCGGGTTGCTTAGGAAGGAAGTCTCTACGTCCTGGATCCAGGCTGGTACTGACCATTCCTTTATGATTGTGATCGTGGTCTTGCTTGCTTGGTCCTTGTCTTTCTTGCAGACTGGGCTATCGATGATTAAATGTGGATCTGCACCAGCTTTCAAGAAGAGAACTATGAGCTGGAAGTATACTTCCAAAAGGGTCCAATCCTCCTGCTTATTGGCCGTTGTGAACGATTTACACTCGACGATCTCCACTAATAGCATACCCCAAGCAGTGGTGTCGGAAATTTGGGTGTTGGGGTTGGCACCGTAATGAAGGAGGGCTTCAATTGTTTTACACATTGCATGAAGTCTCCCAAACCTCGCGCACCAATATAGACGCTGTCTGCTTGATACTGCTCCAAGGTAATCGGGATATTCCGCATCAACCCAAGCAAAGGGTCTCTGCGCTAGAATCTTGGTGACGCAGCTAACGAACCCATACCAAACAGGGATGAGAAGAACACTCCATTCTCCTGATGATGAATCCCAGCTCCTATTAGGCAACGGGGACGGAAGGCACGTAGATATGTCATGGTCACGATCAAATGAAGACAAGTATCGTGTTAGTTCTTCCAGGTATGGCATTACGTCGATGCCAGCACTTTCTGCATGTTCAGCCTGACGAACAATCACCCGGATAGTCTCAGACCTACAAATTTCGTTGGAGATGATATTACATTCGTATATTTTTGCCAACTGTAGAGTCGAGCTGAGCAATGCGATTGACGCAGCGAAGGGTGATGTGGAGGTCAACCCAGTGATATAACTCCATACTCCTGGTTGCCTTAGATAGTCAGCGACGGATTTGTGAAGAAAGTTAACATAGGGTCCCGGTCCCAGGATCGGATGAGATATATCGTCCCGCGAAAGCTCTAGCAGACCACAACAACGGCTTGTGATACGCGCCCCCGTAGCTTCCTTTCTCAGTTGCAAATGTTGGGAGTTGGGAGGTTCCCAACCTTGGCTCAAAACAGCTGTTGGATCCTCGTCTTCTGCAAAAGACATTTTAAGCAAGGTGAGCTCTGTTCCAGTGTCCAAACTGTGAAGAACTATTTGAAGGTATTCGGATGCTTTCCGACGGTAGAGTGGTTCCATTTGCTCCATCATGTGTTGATAGAGGTTATCGAGCTCCGTGGGGAAATAATCCAATCTTTTTTCCAAGTCATTAATCGTGTCAAAATTGTTGAGACCGTGCATGAGGTTGTTCACAACCAAAAAAACCCATAGAAACACACCGGCTGCTCGATCAAGTATTTCAGTAATTAGTTTGTTAGCTCTGGCACTTTCAGCTTCGAGAAGGTATTGCATTCTCGAGTGTTTCCGGAGCTGGCCATCGATATATAGCTTGATGTCTGGCCGTGTAAGGTCTTGGAGTTTTAGACTCGGAGAGCCTTTGAAGACTTGGGCACAAGCAGGTACTGGACGACTGGAAACGAGCATCTTCACGCGAGGTCCACAGGCACTCCTCAAGAGTTCCGAGATTTCATAATGATCGCCATCATATTCGTCAATACCGTCGATGAAAAAACAGATCTTGTAATCTTCCGGCATGTTGTCAACTAATTTGCGGAAAGCAATCCTGTATTCTTGGTCGGACAATTTGCTTGGGAAATGCGGTTCGGGTTCATTAAATCTTGTCCTAGCTTCGCGGGCCTGTTGTTTCTTGATGACAAAGGTTTCATATTCTGCTAACTCGTTGAAGTATTCAGAGAAGATCAGTCCAATGAACTCCCTCCGTGCATCAAGAACCGAGTACAGCAGTGATCTAAGAAGTCCTGTCTGGCTCTTTTGGAGCCCGGTCCCAAGATGCCAGAAGAAAAAGCCGGCAAAGTGGAGTTTGTCCCGGCCAGCCCATTTCTGGAGTGATATTTTCGTCTCATTTTGTTGCATGAGGTACTTCATTAGTGTCGACTTTCCGGATGCTGGTTTTCCACTGCACCAGTAACATCCAGAACCGCTGCACAGCCAGCTGGTGAAACCATGCCATCCCTTGTCTTTTGACAAAGAATCGTCAAAGATCCATTTGAAGGTCTGTGGGTAGTTTTCTTTTATGCTTTGCTCGCGATCAAACATTCCTCTGAAGGAAATCTCCTGCAGAATCATCCTCTCGACTTTCCTCGATATAGATGGGTGAAAGGCCTGTGGAGTTGCTGGCGAACGTGTCTTGTGGGAAGTCTCCTCGGGCCCTGGCTCTTCCTCAGTCTCGAACATGCTGCCATTTTTCAGCGCCCTATCCGATACTATGTTCCTAGTCTTGGTCGGTGGGCTACTGTCCGTCGGGGTTGATCCAACGCTGCTTGCGAGCGGTAAGACAACTTTTGGGTTGTCAATGCCTCGCCACTGTCGCAAAAAGCCCTTTGCACAAGCTGCCGCAATCAGTGCCACGTAGTTCTGCCATTTCTTGCTCTTGTGACTATCGCTGTAATCGCAAACACCTTTGATCACGACTGTTGGGAAAGTTTCCCACACACCCGCACCTTCCATTTCAAAGCCGATCACTTTCTCTTCAGCTGCGAGGTGATCACGATTTAGACCAGATTTCATCACAACGTCACCCGATGCCATCAATCCGAAGCGGATGGAGGGGTCACGTCGAGATGCTCTCTTCCGAGGCACGAGATGAAGATCGTCACAACCAAGCTTAGCACAGGTTGACTCCAATGCGACATCACAAACAGGATCCTCTGGTTTCACGCATTGAGCACATATATCGCAAATGCCAGCATCCTGATGTTTATGACGGTAATTGGCATGATATAATTTGTCTTCGCCAGTCTGAGGACATGCCGGGGCGTCAAAGCCTTCTTTGCTGCACAATTCAGCCACATACTCGATCACATGCCGTCGCAGCTCCGAACGTGCCCGCCAACCTTGCAGCTTGTTCAAAAAAGCTCGAATCTCGTGGTTGGGTCTCCCAAGGGAGTCTTGCAGCGTATCTTTTCGAACCACTCTGTTGGAATATTGACGACCAAGGTCGAATTGGATCACCCCAGTGCTGATGATAACATCACCAAGAAAGATCTCACCGAACCCCGGTGGATAAGGTACACCTCCACACACGCCAACTACTAGCCCAAGACGGACATTTGGAAAGCTGGTACGGAAGTATGCAGCCACACCGGCACTGGCTGCTTTGCCCATCGCGGGCATATATGCCAGAACGACATTATGCAGCCCAATCCGACCCAAGGTGTAGGAATTAGGATCACCAGGGGCTTTACCATATTGTACTTCATCTTCTTCCCAGAAATCATCAAACAAGGCCTCGACAGCATCAGACTCGATCGATAGGGCGCAGAGGATCGCAATCTCGAAGGCGTTGCGGTCGGCAGGACGATGACATTGGATTGGTGACATGGTCGCTCCCTCATCGAACATGAGAGAAGGGATCCTGCTCTCCGCTATGAACAGTCATCACCTTATCGCTCGTCACTTCTCTGCAGCTTGTGCTTAGGGAACTCCGTACGACAGATTGAGAATGGTCATGCCTCAGCGCCAAGGGATTTCACTGGGGACGGTGGGGTCTTTAATACCAGACAGAACTCGCATCTTCTGTCCGTCATGTTCCACTACCAGAACATCATCTTGGGACGGGAGCGCATGCGCCTTGTACAGCTTTTAAACTTTGCAGTATGGTGCCAAAACAGGTTAGCTGTCACAGTCACGTTTTGATTGCAACCGCCCTCCGGCCGAGGCTGAAGCAATTTTTAAAAACGTCGCTAGCGCTAGAATCTTATTCCGTGAGCCGGCATGCCTAGCTATACTCTAGCTGTACGGAGTACATTATGCTCAGTCTGCTCCCCCCATAGAGAGCAGCAAGGCTTCAGCATTAATCTAGAGGCAGGAGACGTGCTAGAGGATCTGCTCCCTTCCCTCAAGCTGCGAGTAGAAAAATTCTGATCCCGAATGTGGTAAATCCTGCCTAAAGAATTTGAATACTGCCATGGTAGTGCTCGACATCTGTCTCCTTCTCCCCCCTGAACGCCTGAACACTACATCACATCAGCACATAACACATCAACTTTCCTGCACATGCACCGTCATTCACTCTCAACAGCATAAGTCCTATCCATGCCTTTCAAGTTCGGATACAAGACTTTACCATCTTTCTCCCCTCCTTTACCCTCATCGCCCTCCTCCATCTCGACATCGTCATTCTGCTTGGAAGCATGCTCCCTCAATTGCTCCTCCGCCGACTGACCGCCCTGCTCATCAACGAAGTCGCCGTCCTCTAGTCTCTTCTTGACGTAATCCCTCAAGAATTCCACCAACCGCATGTTCTCCACCCAGAGCCTCTCCCCCGCCCGAGTCCTTCTCCGACACCTCGCCTCTGTTGGTGCTAGCGGGGGATTTGAGCGCTGCATTAGCGGCTGCGGCTGCGGCTGCGTCGCTACCACCGGGTGAGGAGGAAGGGGGGTATGTTAGAGAGAGCGGGGTCGATGACACTGTTGGATGTGGCCTGGGCCTGAGTATCGGCGGCTCTAGTCGACGTTTACCTACTCCCGCAGCGGCTCTATCTAACGATCGTGTTCCTTCAGTCGACTTAGGCCTCAAAGCATGAGGCACTCTTTAGTCCCCAAATAGCTCATCAATCTGTTCGAGCGTTCTTCTGAAGTGTCTCGGGGTAGTAGAGATACATCAAGAGACATCCCAAGATTAAGCCGTGGCTGAGCGAACTTGCACGTGATTCAGCGTGCGCGTGCCTGATTGAAGCCTAAGCAACTTCAATTGTCCCTGAAGTGATCCATCACACCTAAGTGGCGCGAAGAGGGGCCCGAAGCTTGGCGCAGAAATTTATGAGACTTCTCAGATTTCTGCTATGCTACACGCCCCTTTAATAGGGGATAGGACGCCCATTTCGCTCATTTAGGGCAGCTACTCTATCTGGCATTGTTGAGATAGCCCTATTAATCTCATCCAGAGTTATTTTATCCCACTCCTCCTGGATAGCCCTGCGCAAAACAGCTTCTTCGAAGATGACCCCCCTGGACTTCAAGCGCTGCTTTATTATTCTCCAGATTGTCTCAATAGGGTTGAGATCAGGCGAATTAGCAAGGTTTATCTCCCATTTGATCCCTAGAAGGTCCTTGAGTGCTTTAACCTTGTTAGGACCCTTGCCCTTGGTACCATGAGGCCCGTCATTATCTTTGATTAGTACGTAATCTTTATCCTAATCAGGAGCGACGATTTCTTTCAAAATAGCCATATAATCGCTCTGAATAAGACGCCCTCCTACTCCAGAGCCTGTGTAAAAGTGAAGCTGACCCTTGAAATTCCATCCAATAACTGCGTACACATGGACTGACTGATTTTGACGCTTGAGCTTAAACTGAGTCTTTGATAAGGCATTTCGTGCTTCAAGCCCTGGTCGACGATGAATTCGAGCCTGTCTTTGTAAGCAAGTAGCAAAATGAGACTCATCGCACCATCTATACTTCAGAAACTGATCTAATTACTAATATTGACGCTCAAATCCCTATATAATTCAGGCGTCAATATATAATTATAAGAGCATTTTTTTCTGCGCAGCTATATAGGTCTTTACACCAAAATCCTTCATATTCTGTTGAATTACACGTTCGCAGCCATCGATGAATTCGAGCCTGTCGTTGTAAGCAAGTAGCAAAATGAGACTCATCATACTATTGATACTTCTTGAATTGATCTAATTACTAATATCAACGCTCAAATCCCTATATAATTCGAGCATCAATATGCGTTTGTAAGAGCATTTTTTTCTGCGCGGCTATCCACCTTTCTGGCGTAAAATGACCCGATTTGCGATTGGTCGGAATTTGCCGTTAGCGCCATCTAGCGCCTGTAACCTTAAACCTTAAATTTTTGCAGTAGCGATGACAGCTCCGTAGGAATACAAGAGATACGCAGTATCAAATGACTCAAAAGCACCACCAAGAGGAGATTTCAGGGCCTCTAGATAGTATAGAAGCTGCTCCATCAGCTAAGGACCTCCCTCGACCAAAGAGAGCTCGAATTCAAAGCCGAAAAGCGCAAGAAAATCAAACTCAAAGTTCACTGTTCGAAGTACTTTCCTTCCGACCTGCCACACCATCTGTAAGCGTACCAAAACCGGCACCCTTGGATTCTTCCTTACCGAGCGGAAAACGAGTATCTGTCTCAAAATTGCGACGCTCCTTAAACAGCTAAAACAGCTCTCAGCAAGTTGATACAACGCCACAGGACAAAAAAGAGAAAGAAGAATGGCAAAGACAATTTGAATCAGCTTAAACGAAGCTAGAAAAGTTGAAAATTCTTGCAGAGTATATTAGCTCTCGTCGACCTTACCTTAAGAAACTAAACGTTCTAACCCTATACGTATTAGGGCGCTTATTACTTTAAAATTATAAATATAAGCTAATTAATCTATTCTATTAATTTATTTTATAAGAGCTATTTTAGAAGATTTCTAAATATATAAATAAATATATATTTAAAGAGATATTATAAGAATTTAATAAAAATTAACCCGAATAAAGAGATATAATTATTATACATATTAAAGGCTATATTAGTGCTATAATCTTTATTAGTATATAACTAGGTAGCAGAGATTTATCTTATTATTAGAATTAAAAAGAGAATTATCCTTATTAATTAATTACTTAATACATCTCTTTATATAGATTTTAACAGATTTCAAGATATCTTAAGCTTAATAGACTAGGATCTCTCTTTAATAATTAATAATATAAAAAGATTAAGTCTTTAGCCACTTATTTTTATAAAGCTATAACTTTAAATATATATAAATTGTTACAAAATCTCTTAATTAATAAGTAATTAGTTAAATTTGAAAGGTATTTAAAGCATATTATTTAGATAAATTTAAAAGCTACTAATAAGGAATACAAAATTTATAGTCTCTGCTATTTTAATAGCTATATATATAATGGCTCGAAACTAGAACAAGTCAATAGTCTATAGATTACTAAAACGTAAGCTGAGGAGTCTATCTACATTGCAGCTAGCGCTCTACTCTATATACTCCTCCATCGAACACAAGGGGTACTACTAGTTAACTTACGCAGAGGATCCGACAGAGTATCTGCAGGGCCAGAAGCGGTAGCTTCCCTCTAGAGGAGATTGTACTTCTCTAAAGGGGTCGTATTAATCTCCTGTTCTATAATACTCGTACAGGGAGCCACGTGCCGTACGGATACCTTTATCAGCGGCATAGTAGCTTGACAGCAAGAGTTCTGTGTGCCGTTATAGATACATCATCAGCGCTGCTATCTGAGTGCGTGACTGGTCTTATGTATTTCCTGCGCTATAGCAAAGGAGATACTCTATTTATTACACTACTCCCCTCTCTGAAAAATCGATTGCTCTTAATTAAGAGCACGAGAAAGTAAGCTCACTCCTCCTAAATTCTATTGCTAAGCCTAGCAACTTCCTTATTAGGTTAGTCTGAAATTTGGCTATATATATATAGCCAAATTTCAGACTAACCTAATAAGGAAGTTGCTAGGCTTAGCAATAGAATTTAGGAGGAGTGAGCTTACTTTCTCGTGCTCTTAATTAAGAGCAATCGATTTTTCAGAGAGGGGTAGAGTCTTTAAAGTTCGTGATAAGGTAATAGGTCAGGTCCTCTAGCCAACCTACCTACTTAGCTCGCATCTTTAAGGCCTTGCCTACTTGCTTAACGTCAACTATGTCCTTAATCTCTTATGCCTCCTCTCCTTTTGTTTCTACTAGTAAAGGCTATAAATATTCCTGGCCTGATAAGGAGTCAGCAGAGTCTTTAGTAAGCAGTAATATATAAGATATATTATAAATTTGTATTAATAAAGGCAGCTTCAGACAGAAGCTCTACCTAAGTCTCTTTATAACAGGGAATAGTCTAATCTATTTCGAATCTAGCTTCTTATAAGGTCTTGTTATATTAATATTCTTTATTAATAACTAGACCTTGTCTCCTTCTTTAAAATTAATTTCCTAGTAGTGCTTGTTCGCCTGCTCTTGCTATTACTCTTACATAATCTTTAAGTACCCTTATACTTACTTTTAAATCTTTTCTATTAGCTTTGCTAGGTTCTTAGCCTTTTCTAGGGCTATACATTTCTTTGCTATCTTTATAAACTTAAGTTTATTAAAATTTATCCTTAGCTAATATCTATATATATTTATAAATAGTAATAATTATATAGACTTAGATACTACTATATTTATAATAAATTTAGTGCTTAAGAAAAAGTTATTCTAATTATTTTATATAAAATTTATATAAGCTCTTAAGTATTATTTTATCTTTATATTAGAGACTTCTATTTAGCTATTTATCTATAGATAATAAGCTATAAATAGCTTTACTTTAACTCTTAAGATTTAATACTATTATTTTTATATTTTACTAGTAAACTAAGGCTCTTAGTTAAATATAATTATCTAAGGAAGCCTATAAAGCTTTTATATATTTTTATATAGTATCTTAGTTATCTCTTCTAAAGTTATACCCTCTTTTATAATTATATAAGGGATATAGTAGCGTTTCTTACTTAACTAATTAATAATTATTAGAATAGTGTTATAGTCTTCTAATATTAATAATTCTATAATAAAATCTATTAAAATATCTTATTAAAGGCGCTTAGGAATTAAAAGAGATTATAATAAGCTTACAAAAAGCTAATATATAAGTTTAGTCCTTTTATAAACATAACAATTCTGTAAGAATCTCCTGACTAACGTGTATCTATTTAAGATATAGTACTTACTATTTGTAATAGCCTTCCTTGTCTTTATATAGCTTGAGTACCTAGTCTCCTTACTCTTATAGATCTCTTAAATCACATCTATTACTATTGCTATTAATACTGTCAGTTTTTCTTTATATTATAATACTCCTTTCTTATCTTTATAATTTTAAATATTGTACCTAAATATTTTCTTTTTTAAGTTCTTTCACGTTAAATATCTTATTAACCTAATTCTCTTTCTTTACCTTCTTTTAGAGTAGTAAATCTTTCTCCTTTAGTAACACTTATATTACTAAGATCTTTAGGTTAAATTTCTTATTTATAAAGTATTAAAATGTTATTAATACAAAGATTAATCTAAATAGTAATACCTTATATTAGTAGTTACTATATATAGTGTTAAATATAATAAGTTTATAGTCCTTCTTAGTTACTAAACAAATCTAGTAATATATCTATTAAATATCTAGCTTAAAGAAGATTATAGCTTTTCTAAGAAGACTTATAGTCTTGTCAATCTAAGAGATAGTATAGCTATTCTTTTTTATAATAGTGTTTAGATCCTTAAAATTAATATAGAAACAGAGTCCTTCTTAAAGTTTCTATATTAGAAGAATTAGCAATATAAATAAGGCAGTACTTAGTTTAAT